CTCTCTCTCTCTCTCAAATAAATAAATAAAATTAAAAAAAAAAAAAAAGAGGGAGGAGGGGAACAGGAAAAAGAAAGGGAAAGAGAAGTAAAAGTTGGAGGAGAGAACCGAGTATGGCTGTTGCCGGCTTTGAAAAGGGGGTGGGCAGCGGCCAGGAGGCCGGGAGCACCGCTGGGCTCGAGATGCTGGGAAATGCCAGGAAACAGGTTCTTTCCCAGAGTTTCCAGAGGAATGCAATCCTGCCGACACTGATTTTAACCCAGTAAAACCCAGTCTGGAGACTTTTGACCTGCACAGTCGGCAGCTCACAGACACGTGCTGCTCCAAGCTGGGGGGGTCTAGTCATTTGTTACCACAGCGGCAGCAGGAAGACCCGGGAGGGACGCGCCTCGTGGCCGCTCCTTCTCTGCGCCCGGTGGAGGGAGTGGTTGGGACGGTCCCCCGAGTCCTTCTCATTGTTAGCATTAGGTTACTAGGCCCCTCTGCCCCCCTCCTCCTTTGCCATTCTGACAAAAACTGTGGCTCCAAGCCCCATAAAAAAACAGTCCGAAAACTTGTGCACGATGGTGGGGGTGATACAGACCCCCCAGATGCTCCCCTGTGAAGCTGCAGTGTCTGCTGGGCCTTCCTCTGTCCCGGGATGAAGAGCCCATGCGGACGCAGAGGGACTGCTTTCCCAGGGAACCTCGCTAACGGGGTCTGCCAGGCCCTCATCCGGGGACTCATCCAGGTTCCCGTTTCATTCGCTGCGTATGGAAACATTCTTCAGAGGAAGGGTCCAAGGGCTTGCCGCCATCAGTGCCAGATGGGTCTCTGGTGTCCTTGAAGGTCAAGGGCTCCCGGCTCCAAAGGGTCCTTCCCTCTGTCAGGTCAGCTTTCTTCTTTTGCTTCCTCCCGAGGCTCTGTCTTGTCCTGGGCACTGGACAAGGACAAGGACAAGGGCTCTGCTCTGGCAGCGTGCCGGGGGGATGCCCCGGGCCCAGGCCCAGAGTACCTGGGGCACGTGGGCCTTCTGCACAGCCTCCCTGTCTGTTACTCAGCAGGTCCCCGTGGGCAGGTGGATGCTCACGGGATGAGCCTGCAGGGGACCTTATTTAGGAAGGACGGTCCTTCCCACTGGGTCACGATGACTCACTCCTGTTCCTGAGCCTGAGGACGGGGCTGGGCCACAGGCACCTGTTCCTGGCTCGAACTCCAGCCCCTCCTCACAGCCAGCCAGGGACTCTCCTCCCCCCCCCCCCCCCCCCCCCAGGGAGCTGTGGGCGCTCCCAGAGAGCAAGCTGTTTGTGGGAAGGTCTAAATGTGCAGCTCGGTGATTTGCTAGTCCTAAAACCTCCACACATATCACTTGAGGCCGAGCTATTGTCTCTGCGTTTTCTTTTTCCAGTGGGTGGGGACCCAGATGGGAAGGCAGCTGTGAATGAACTCGGGCCGGAGACCCAGGCTGATGTTGTCTGTGATGTGTTTCTCTCCCAGCTCCGGAAGAGAAGGAGGTCATTAAAGGCCAGTATGGGAAGCTCACGGACGCTTACGGCTGCTTGGGGGAGCTCAGGTTAAGATCCGGTAAGTACCCGTTCAGACAGAACAGCAGCTGTCAGAGCGTCTCCTCTGCATTTGTTTGGAAGGGCTGCCGGGTTTAGACATTTTATTTTATCATCTTTTAAACTGTGTCTGTATTTGCCTGTGCCCACTGCTCCGTGCCGGGGAGGAGGAGAACGCAGCCTGATTCTCACCTGTCTGTGCCGGTGGCGGAGAAGGGTGTGTGCGAAGGATGCTCCCCCTTCATGGTCTCCCCTCCAGGACCTGAGTTTTTCCCAAGTCGGGTGTGGGGGGGTCCCCCCAGGGGGCTGTTTGTTGTTGACAAGGGCTCTGTATCTAGAAAGCGTGGATGCAGGGAGTCCGAAAACCCCGGACTCGCGGGGTGGCTTGAAGAAGAGCAGGGACTGGGCGTGCATGTTAGCGAGGAGAGAAGAGCCTCCAGCACTTGGGGGCCATCGGACGCCGGCGGTGCGGAGCTGGGGAGAGGAAAGGAAAGTGCATCTGGAAAATGGGCTGCGTAGTCTGACTTTGGAAAAGGCTGAGAACTCCCAGGAACCAGCGGGCATCCTTGTCCGTGTGAGACCCCCGGGGCTGAGCTGTCAGCTGGGCTGTTACTGGAGGTCGCAGCCTTCCCCTGCATTGTCACCTCTGTGCCCCGGACCTCACTTTGGGGTCTGTAGCCACCATGTCCCTCCTCCTCTCTCAGCCACATCATTTATGCTGGCCCCACCCACTGGTCTCCAGGGATGTTTGGGGCCCGGGCCAGAGCACAGGTGACATCTCTCCTTCTCAGTCCTGCACCCCAGAATGAGAATGGCTGGGAGTGGATCAGATTGGGGCACACGGCTTCCCCTGAGCTGAGCATGTTCCCCCGTGTCCCACAGCAGCTGCGTTCACAGACGGGGAATTTTTTTTAAGGCGACAGAATGGCATGTTGTCTGTCACTACTTTTCTGGGTCTTTTCTTTCGGGGATGGGTTCTCCTGAACTCTGATTCCACCAGTCATTTTCACAAATCGTGTGTAGGGAAAGCGCTCAGTAGTCCCACGACAACATGCATGCCTCCGATGTCTGTTTTGTTCCTCGGGGCTAGATGTGCGTTAACTTATTTAGTCCTAAAAATAAGCCAATATGATATTGCCTCTTTTCCACTATTCCCAGTAATGGAAACAGGCTCAGAGGGTTAAAGTGATTGCCTCGGGTGAGAAGCGTAGCTGGGATTCAAACCCAGACGGAGTTGCCTCCAAACACTTGGCTTTTTCCCTAAAAACGTGCTGCCCAACCCAGGTTTTCTGTGGGACTTTTCCCCTTAGTGATTTTAATGAGGTCACAAAAAAGTCCGGTGGCCCTTGCCTCCGCGACGGTGATGTGAGGACGCCAGCTGACCTTCCGTAACGCGCACGTGCCGGGCACTGTTTTAATGTATTCACTCTGTTCTCCCAACACGCGAGGTGGGTGCCTGTTTCTGTTCTGCTTTACCCAGACAGAGAAGCTCGGAAAACTTAAGTGCTGTTTTTTTTGTCTCTTCTGTGACTTTTTTTTTTTTTTTTTTTTTTACATATTAGAGCGTCTTGGCTCTTAGGATGTGTTAACCGTTGTTGACATCTTGCAGTTATAACCGGCAGTGGTTTTCCGCTACATGAATCAGTGTATCTGACCGGTTTGCATCTGACCCAGACCTGGATTTTGCGCAGGGCTGTAACTTGGCCAAGGTCAGGCAGTTCTCCAGGGGTGACCTGGGTTTTAAACATGTGCCTTCTGGAGCCCGGGGCTGTTGTCAACCACCTGGGGCTGTTGTCAACCAACGGGGCTGTTCTGTCTTGAAAGGGGGCAGAGAAGGTTGAACTGCCAAGGTCAGAAGGAGCGGTACCTTTCCTTCATCCCACAGGAGGGCGTCTTTTCCCTGGACTATGATCTGAGATCGGCCACAGGGAGTCGCTCTCAACAGGCCCCCACTCTGAATCCTGGCTACACTTTTTGCCTGAGGCGATGACTTTAACCTTGAGAAATATTGTCAGAGTGGGCCAGGGTGTCTGTGGGGCTCCTGGCCCAGGATCTGGGCAGGCTTCCGTGGAATCATCCCAGGGCAAGGAGGTGGAGAGAGAAGACCACCTGCTGGGGAGATTCCCCCCCCCCCACCCAGTCATCTTGCCCTTGCCCTGAGGCAAGGCCCTGCTCCCTTCGTGCAGCCTGTGCTCCCCACCTGGCCCTCCCCCAGGAGTGAGTGCGCAGAGCCCCTGGGGGCCTGGCATGAAGGTCGCTCAGGTCCCCAGGCCCCCCCCCCCCCGCCCCGGTTCTCCTGTCCTCTGTCCTCTGAGTACCCCCAGCCCTTCCTGCCAGAGTTGCCCTCCCAGGTGGGCTGCCAAAGCGAGAGCAAGGGGGTAAGAATGACTTCCGAGTTTTGGAATGTCAGCGTTCTTTGGCCTGTTCTCAACACATTCCTGAAAGGGCCCTCGGATATCTTTAGGATAGATGGAAGGATTGGGCCTTATTGTCCAGTTTTTTAAATCCCTTTGGGTTTCCTGAAGGAAACCATGGCTTTAATTTGATTTTCTTTTCCTCCTGCAAGTCCCCAGTCCAGAGCTCTCCTGTTTTCTTCTCATCTGTTGAGGGTGTTGGTCAGTGCAGAGTGAAATCCCAGTTTGGGTTGCCACCGAGACAACCAGCCCAAGCTGGGGACGGGCCTCCCTTTTGACTGACTTTTTTAGGCCGAGGGTCTCTGTACAAAATAAGAGACTTCCTCTCAGGCTTATACAGGGGGCAAGTTGTTGAATTTCAATCTGCCTCAGTGAAGATAGCTTTTTTTCTGTTAGAAACTAAGAAATGTGCACAAAAATTGCTAAAAGCTTTATTCCAGGTTTCTAGGTTTTCATGGAGATCGTAAGTCTCTCCTTCCTCCCAGAAATGCCAGCAGGAAGGGGGTGGAGCCCCCACAATTAGCCGGGGAGTCAGGCTTCCTGATGTAGACATGATACAAAGCAAAGAAAGTGAGAGTATAGCAGCTGAAAGAATTTATCCCAATGATTATAGGATTTAACTCCCTTTTAACCTAAGCTCTCACAGCCTCCCTGTTTCATAGCCTCGAGGGTTGAATACAGTGAGGTCTTTTTTTTTTTTTTTTAAAGATTTTATTTATTTACTTGACAGAGAGAAATCACAAGTAGCTGGAAAGGCAGGCAGAGAGAGAGAGAGAGAGAGGGAAGCAGGTTCCCTGCTGAGCAGAGAGCGGGATGCGGGACTCGATCCCAAGGACCTGAGATCATGACCTGAGCCTAAGGCAGCGGCTTAACCCACTGAGCCACCCAGGTGCCCCTACAGTGAGGTCTTTAACGAGCTCTGGAGTTGTGCAGTGCACAGCCTGTGAAGCCCTACCGGACAGCCCTCCCAGATTCTAGTTCCAGCCTCACAACACACTCACCTTCTGTACTTATTCATCTCTCTGAGACTGTAGTCTGCAAAACCAGGAAAACTGCCTCACCTCTGTATTACATAATTCCTAAGAGATTTATAGGGAAGAGTAAACCTGGTTTGGAAATGGGTACCGAGGGGGAGGGAGCTGGTGTGCAGAAGGGTCCCTCTGGGAGAAGGGGGTGCGGGATAGAGGTCAGGGCACTGAGAGTCCTGGTGGGTGGTTAGCCTGCATAGGCTAGCGGAGGGCTCACTGCTGGACGGTCACTACAAAAGGCAAAGTCTCTGGGGAGGGAAATGGGATCGTCTTTAGTCTGGAGATTCGGGGTACACAGTGTTCTCTGGAAAGTCTTGAAACGATACGGACTTTATCAGTCTTAGGATCATTTATGACCTACATCCAGTGGAGTGCTGGTGAATATTGGACGTCCAGCTCTCTGGGGAAAAAAGCCCTGCTAGGAAGCATCTGCCAGTTTCCATGGTGCGACTAACTCACCCCTGGTGGATTTCGGGCTACAGAGCGGGGCTGGGGAAGGAGGGGCGGGCGAAAGCTCCCAGCTCACACACATGTGCCACCTGCACGTTCCAGAAAGGGAAGGTGAAAGAGATCCTTGCACCCCGTGGCATGCGGATGCAGGGTATTTAGAACTCACGCTGGTTGGTACTGGGGGAGCCTTGGGGACCCCCACTCCACGAGTGGGCAAGCCTAGAGCTCCTGAGTCCTGTGTCTACAGCTTTAAAGTGTGAGAGGGCCCTGTATAAGCAGGAGAGAGAAGGGGGTCTGTCGCAACCTCAGAGTGGAGATTGGCACGAACCTGGCCGGGGAGTGAACTCCAGGGCTGAGCCAACGGAGAAATGCAGACGCAGGGGAAGCAGGAGGCCCAGAGGCCAGAACACACCCAGCATTGTCCCCGCACAAACGGCATTGTGTCTGCCCGTGACTCACCATGCTCCCAGCGCCAGCCCTTCCCAGCCAGATGACAGTGGCCTCAGTGAGACAAGACAGGGACCCTGTCGCTGCCGGGCTCAGGGGCCTGGGGATAGCCGGGCCTTGGAGTTGGGTTTTAAAGGCAGCCCCCTCGAGGGCGAGCATTTCTGAATCAGCATGGAGGTCTCCGAGGTTTTTGTGCAGGTGGCAAAATACAGAGATGATAAAAATGTACCATTGTGACCAAGTTAAAGTGGACAGTTCAGGGGCACTGAGGACATTTCCATTGTTGTACCCCTGTCTGTCTCTAGAAGTTTTTTCATCTTCTCAAACTGAAACCCTGGCCCTCCTAGACAGTACGTGGTGGGGTGGTTGCCTCCCGCTTCCGCACCCGGCTTGCTCAGCCCGCAAGACTCGCCTGGAGCGTGGGCCTCCTGCCATCTGGAGGGGTGTATTTGTCCCTGTGTGCGTGTGTGAGCCCTTCTGGCTCTGTTGTACCTTTGGGCCCGTGACCTGTTGCTTGTCCTCCCAGTCACCTCTCCCTGACTGTGGCCAGCGACCTCTGACCCAGGCGTGCTCTCCGCTAATAAATACTATTTACCCGTGGATGTGCAGATCCAGAGGTCCCATCCACCTTCCCAACAAGTCTCTTTTTTTATGTTAAATTACTCTTTAGCAAAGCACTTTGTTTATATTGTTTGACTCAAAATCATTGCAATGATGGCGCAAGTCCGAGTCTTCTAAACACATCAAGTGTCGGGATCAGATTGCTGTCCGGTATGGTCAAGAGACACAGAAGCACAAAATATGACATTAGGATGCAACTCCGGGGGGCGTGGAATGGAAAGACAAGGGAAATCCCATCTGTTAAAGAACTGATTCATGCCTCCCCTGATCAAAGCAGGATCTAGATCCCGCTGGATTCCGGTAAAGAGACCCATAACGGTTTTATTGTCACGCATCAATGTTTAGCATATGCTGTAAAATGTATTATTCACAGCCATTTAATCTAATGATGAAAACTCGTGGTGTCCAGTGAGCAAATGGCACATTAGTCAGCCACACCCCTTGTGGGACAGTGAGCCAGCAGGACTGGAGGCCCCCAGACCTGGGAGCCCGAGGGAGCCGGGGAGGGGAGACCCATGTGTGCATTGTGGGTCCCTTGGCAGACTAGCCGTGCCTTGGGCAGACGATGTGGCTTCCCCCTGGGGACAGTCCCTCACATGTGAAATGGCAGCCTTGTCAGGCACATGGGCCGTCCTTCAGAAAGGATCTAGGTAAAGAGTGCCAGATCTGGAAGCAGACTTAGCCTGAGTCACTTGCCCAGGTGGTAGAGCCCAAAAGTGGATTCGAATCCCAGCTGCCCCACTCTGTTACCTTGGGCAGGCTTCTTAACCTCTCTGTGCCTCCATCTGCCTCTCTGTGAAATGGGACTAAAAGTGGTACCTCCTCCCCGGCCCCCCATGGGCTTGTCCAGAGGAAGTTCAAGGAACAACACCTAGTGCCCAGGGAGTGCCAGAACCGAGAGTCCTCGTTATCATAGTGCTTGTTCCAGTATGCTCCTGTGGTGGCTTTTCTTAAATTCACCTGTGCTCTCTCCTGAGCCCTTCATCCCAGGACTCAGGAGCTCCAATTCTCATTTATTTTAAGAGCCTTTTCCTGCCTGCTGTAGCCACCCCTCCATGCCTCCCCCTGGCCACTGCCCTGCACAGGAAATGCCTACTGTCTTCAAAGCCACCTGGGACTCTTGCCAGGGACTCGGTACCCCCCACGCAGAGGCTGTTGAGGAAGTACTGCTCGAAATCCACTTCACAGCTTGGCTGGAGAGACAAAGTTTTCTGTGCTTCTCCTTGACCCCACTCTCTACAGAATCCCTTCTCAGGCTCGCAGCCTAGACCGCAGGGGCTGTCCCCTGGCCACACCTCTGAACGGTCTTGAACTCTGCTTTCCCTGCGCTGAGCACATGGAAAGAGGCAGAAGAGATGCCTGGGCACAGGTTCTAGCACAGGTTTTGGGAACATTTGTGTTTGTGAGGCTGTAATTCGAGGACATCCAGCCCACATTAACCCCACCTGTCGCCCAGAAGTGATACTTATCCTGCTTAGGAAACCCAAGCCCCCCACCCCCTATCACTGTCCACAGCATAGCTGCCTTATTCTTATGTTGCTTTAAAGTAGTTTCCTGGTAATTGGCCTGGGGAGGTGGGATGGGAGCTGATAAGGTCGCTCTGTGGTCCCCCCAGCAGGCATGCTAGGAGTGGTGACATAGGATGAAGGCATCTTTAAGAAAAATCCAGGCATGTCCTGGCCCCGAGCAGCACCCTTCCTCCTACCAGGTGTGAGGAGGGAGTAGGGGGACAGAATGAGCACTGGGACTTAAGGGTCTTTTATCAGAGTGTCTGAAACATTGGTCACCTTGGGCCCAGACAATGATTTCTGACCACTGGGAGTAGACCTTGCTGGCTATAGGTCCTTTAAATCTTAGCAGGGTGGGAAGACTGTCCTTTAGACCAGAACCACACCAGCCCCCCAGAGGCCAGCTGGTCATCCCGGTGATTGGGCCCTCTCCTGAAACGGGGCAGGGGCACTGTCCCCGCTGTCCCCAGAGCAGAGCCTTGCCATGCACCCCTGGCTCCCACAGCATGTGCTTGTCTGCCCTGTGCAGTGAGGGGTGCAGAAGACAAGGCAGGTTTGATGGGGTCCCTGGAGAGGTTCCCTCGTGCTCCTGGCAGTCCGGTGGGCAGTGGTATGGGGGATCATTTCACGGGGAGTGGGGAGGCCTGAGCCGCCCTCTCCCTGGGTGATGTAGGAAGTATTCGTCTGTCGGCCGTTGCCGTGCTGGGATATTACAATGAAACGGGGTCCTGCCCCAAAGAAACCCCAACCTACTGGGTATACATTTGGGAACAAGGTTGTTAGCTTTGCATATATGAGGGCTAACAGGGATGCTGTTGGCCTGTGGCGGGGGTGGGGGGGAACACAGCCATGTCTTGGGAGAGCAGGGCAGGCTCCCTGAAGGGCAGAGAGGAGTTCTCCCGGAAAGGAGGGACTGACCTAGGGTGGCCCTAATGAACCCCGGAAAGGTTTGTGGCTCTTCTGGGAAGTGGAGACAGGGAAGGCGAGTGGGGAAGGCCTTGATGGGCAGAATGTGGTAGGGTTTCCCGGGCAGAGATGGCATCTTGGGCAAAGGCCCAGGGGTGTGAGGGCATAAGGCGTATTTGAGGAGCCGCGGGACCATGGGTGTCCATAAGTGGGGAGGGATGGGTGGTCGGCCTGGGAGGAGTTCCCCTTTCAGTCCTGGGGGAGGTGGGAGCTGTAGAAGGATTTAAGCAGAGAGGGAGGTCTTCCATCAGGCATCTTCGAGAGGCTACTCCAGGGACTGAGCTTGGAGGACTGACCCCAATGGGGGGCCCTGAGCCAGGTGATGCCTGAGGCTTCGTGGAGATGGCGGATTTGCAAGGCTTTGGGGGGACAGATAGGGGGAGAGGCTGTGGGTCCACGAAGGCTCCAGGCCAGAGACCCTCAGGCTGATGGGCGGCAGAATGGCCTGACTGCCTGTTCCAGCACAGGTGGCTGGCCCCTGGCCCCGCCCCACTGGATGGGGCCCAAAATTCGCATTTCCAGTAGGCTGCCAGGTGGTGGCGCTGCTGGCCAGAGGCGACCCTCGGAGAACCAGGCTTCGGGCTCTGGTGGGTTGCAGTGGCCACGCCTGCTTGTCCCCGGCACCCCTGGTGCCCTGACGCCCACCTAGTGTGGTCCTAAGCCCCCTTGTCTATTCCCTTCCAGGTGGTGCTTCCCAGAGCTTCCTGGTTTTGGTGACAGGCTGCACATCTGTGGGCAGAATTCCAGAGGCTGAAATCTACAAGATCACGGCCACCGACTTTTACCCTCTACAGGAGGAGGTCAAGGAGGAGGACCGCCTCGTAGCCTTGAGGAAAATCCTCAACTCGGGGGTCTTCTACTTCTCATGGCCCAATGATGGGTCCAGCTTTGACCTCACCGTCCGGGCGCAGAAGCAGGGCCATGACAGCGACGAATGGGGGAGCTCCTTCTTTTGGTGAGGGCCCTGGGTCATTGCCTACCACCCCCCCCCGCCCCCATCCCCCTTGGATCACATCCAGGGTGGGCTCTGATTGGCACTTGCATCCTTGCTTTCTGCTTTACATCATCCCCAGGATCCTGGGGCACCTCTGAGAGCCCAGTTGCTCTCAACACAGTGAGAAGAAAGCTAAGCCCCCATCCGCACCCCTGGGCTCAGGGAAGGTGTCCAAAGCAGTCTAATGTAGATTTAGAAAAGAAACTATCCATGAGTAAAGAACATAAGAGCGCACACCCACTGGGTGCTTCCTAAGTGCCGGGCCATGCTCAGTGCCCCTGTGGTCCTCTCAGCGATCTGGGTTACCCTCTGGTGCACACACATTTATCACAAATGCTTATATACGGTGTTCCTATTCTAGTAACTTCCTTGCTGGTAATAACTCAGAATCCTGGGATGCCTCATGGGTGGCTCAGTGAGTTAAGCGTCTGCCTTCAGCTCGGGTCATGATCCCAAGGTCCTGGGATCAAGTCCCGCATCAGGCTCCCTGGGAGTCTGCTTCTTCCTCTCCCTCTGCCACTCCCCCGCTTGTGCTTGCTCTTTCTTTCTCTGACAAATAAATAAAATCTTAAAAAAAAAAAAAAAACAACTCAAAATCCTCACAGTAACGTATGAGGTAGGGTCTGTTTGTTATGCCCATTTTACAGATAAGGAGACTGAGGCTTGAACAAGTGAGGAAATTCGAACCCAGGCATTCTGGCTCCAGATCCTATACTGTTAGTCACCAGGCCAAACCAGCTCTTCCAGCAATGGGGAAACTGCCACGTCAGCCTGCGAAGGTACCGAGCAGTCATGTGGTAACACACACCTGAGGCCCAGACCAAGGCGCCTGGATTTCTGTATGTTTAGGGTTACTCGGGTGTTCCTCCACAGGCATAGCTAGGTGTGGCTGACTGTATAAATATGTAAATTATCTATGGCTCTTTCTGGACCCTGGGGGTCATGACCCTGGTAAGTCCTAGAAGGTAGAGCTGGTGCAATGATCTCCGTGGACCAGTGCCAGGCCTAGGTAGTCAACCGCTGTACCCTTCAGATTTGCCAGGAGACAGGTGAGAAGTGAGTCAGAAGCCAGTGGGATGAGCATCGAGCTGTAGAAATTGCTCCAATATGCCTCATACCCTGAATGTTCTTAGAATTCCAGGGCTGGCCCTTTGGAGCCACCCCAGTTTCCCAGCCATAATTTATGCCTGCCTCCCTCCCTTTGCCCAAACCCAGGAACTTGGAGGTCTCCTTCAATGCATAAATGTTTTTTTTCCCCCCTTGGTGCTTCGGGCCCCCCACCGCTGCCCGACCTCTGCCTGGAGAAAGAGGCTTCACCATATCCTGCCGCAGGCCTTGGCGCTCCTCACCACCAGGCCCTCTTGGACCGTCTGGCTTTGTTGAGTTCTTGGGGCCATCCTGTGCTCAAACTTGAAAATACCTGTGAGTCTCCCGCTACGCTTGTTCCAATGCAGATTATGACTCAGCTAGTCTGGGCCCCGGGACCCAGACTCAGCTAGTCTGGGCCCCGGGACCCAGACTCAGCATTTCCAGCCAGGTGATGATGCTGGCCCCTGTCCTGGGGTTGGAGGATCCTTCTCTGAGAAATAGGTCCAGGCGATGGTGTTTCTGGGAATCACTAAGTCCATTTTGCAGGGACGAGCTGGTACCCCTGAAGTCTAGGAAGTGAGGGAGGCGAAGGCTGGGGATTTGGAGGGCTGTCTGTGCTAAGGACATGGGGCCACCTCCAACAGGGACTGCCGGGCAAGGAGAGGTCTCAGAGGCTGTGACGTTTCTCGGCAACATCACAGGACGGTAGGGGATGCTTAGGGAACCAGGTGGCCCTGGTGTCAGGCCTTCTGCCAGCTCTGGGGCTGGAGACGTGGGATCCACAGAGAGCAGCGGGAAGGGGCGCAGATCACGAGGTGGAGGCTGGGACCAGGCGGGGGGGGGGGGGGGGGTGGCGGGGGAAGGGGCCAGACTGTATCTTGAGCTGAGAGGAAGCGGCTGTCTGGAGGGTGCCAGGTCGCTGGGCATGGTGTTTGGGCGGTGCCCGTGGAGCTGACCGCAGCTGAGTCAACCCTGACCCAGCAGCCACAGGCTTGATTGCCCGAAGCCCATTCAGGGTGCTGCATTCCAGGTCTGGATGCACATCTGGAGTCAGATGGGGTCCACACGGAACGTGGCTGGTAAATGAGGGGTGCAGGGCGCTGGGAAGTTCTTTTTCCAGTCTGGTGATGGACCGCTTCGAGAACTGCTTCCCAGTGGAGTGCAAGCCTGGGAGGAGACTCACAGCGGTTTTCCTTTGTAGATCTGGGTCTCTTCCTCTGAGGACAAGAGCCAGGCCAGTGTGGCTATAAACAGGGACTCAGAGCTGACAATATTTAGCAAAAGGCTCCCTTGCCTGACCCCTGGTGACTGATGGTGGCCATAGCTGTGTGGCTGGAAGATTGGAATATTCTGGAGGCCTTGCTTTGATGCCATATGCAGATTTAATTTGTTACTAAAGCTGGTTCGTCATCTGAATTTTAGAGAGTGACTCAGAAGAAGAAAACGTGTTTTTGTGAAGGAGTACTCCATCATCATCATTTTTCCGGCGGACAAACACAGTGGCTAGGAGAGCTCAGAAGGGGCCCCACGTGTCTGCTCCCTGAGGGGTGGGGTTTCTCGGTGTCCTGCTCACAGTGGGGGAGGCTGGCCTGAGACCTCGAGCGCCTCGCTGCTTGGAGAAGCCACCTGAGACATCGCAGAGCTCACAGGGCCCTTCTGGAGAAATGAGAGAAGGCTGCTATCTGGGAAGAAGGCTCTCGGGCAAGGCAGGAACGGCGCTGCCTTTTTTAAACAAATAGGGCATTGTGATCTAGATTTGCTTAGCACCCCGTGGGAAAGAGCGTTCTGGGAAGGTTCCTGCCTCCCTGGGAGAGGCTGAAAGGCCTCGGAGGGTGCTGCTTGGGTCTCCTGAGCGGCCCGAACAGACCTTGGCCTGGAGTATTGGGGGTCCTGGCACCCCTCCAAGGCCTCCCTTCTCAGAGTGGCCGCTGGGGCTGAGTAAGGTCAAGTGGGAGTTGGGGAAGCTGAGTGAGGGCAAGAGGGGGCAGTGGCTCTCCCAGGTGCGGCGGGTACTTGTGGGGCCTTCAGTGAGGGAGGAGGTAGGCCTGGGGCTGGCGGGGCCAGTGAAGAGCACAGGCTCCCAGCTCCTCGGTGCCGTTTAGTGGCTCCCAGACCTTGGGCAAGTCCTTCACTTCTCTGTGCCTCAGTTTCTTTATCTGTAGGATGGGCTGAATGATAACACCTTTCACATAGGGCCTTTGGAGGATGAAGTGACTAAATTCATCCCAAAGCACTCAGAATGGTTCTCAGTGCACTTGGTAAATGTTGGCTTTTATTCCCATCCTTATCATCATGGACACCAGGGGTCCCCAGACCCCCAGAACAATCCCCCCGATATGGGGACAAAATACTAGAACTTTTGTTGCTCTTATTTTCGTCTTAATTTTTTTTTCAAGACTTTATTTATTTATTTGACAGAGACACAGCAAAAGAAGGAACAGGAGCAGGGGGAGTGGGAGAGGGAGAAGCAGGCTCTCCACAGAGCAGGGAGTCCTGTGCAGGGCTCGATCCCATGACCCTGGGATCATGACCTGAGCCGAAGGCAGACGCTTAATGACTGAGCCACCCAGGCGCCCCCATCTTATCCTTTTCTTAAAAAATATTTCACTTACATGAGAGAGAGAGTCCAAGCAAGGGGGAATGTCGGAGGGAGACGCAGACTCCACACTGAGCAAGAAGCCCAAAGCAGGCTCTATGGCCATACTCGGGGGATGACGACTTGAGCCAAAGGCAGACGCTTAGCTGACTGAGCCACTCTCATCCTTTCTTACTTATTTTGATTCGCTTCCTAGTGCTCTCTCTGGGATAGGCTGCACCTCATGGGATATGTATGTCATTTAAATAAGCATCCATATAGTTAGTGATTATTTTTATCATTTATTATTTACTTACAAGCCTATGATTAAATTTTTTTACTGATGGGCTTTCTGATTTAAAAGTGGGGAGGGCTGGGGTCTGGAGGAAGGCTCCTCCCACGTTCCCCGGAAGGTGGGGGGTGGATCACGCTCCGCTCAGGGACTTTCCCTCCGCCCACACTGACACCTGCGGTGGCTTAGGGAAGGAGTCCCGGGTCGATACTGCTTGGCCTCCGCTGCCCTGCAGCTTGTGGGGCGGTGGTCCCACAAGCTCGGGAACTTCCCAGCCCCGCATCCCGAGCACCCAGGTCACCGGGAGCGCCTTCACCCCATCCCTGGCCTGAGAGCCGGCCGTGCGCCTGCCCCTCCCCCACTCGCTTGGGCGCCGTGTTAACCCGGAGGATGCGTGACCCCAGTCGCTGTGGGGCTCCGTTTCTCAGGAACCAGCTGCTGCACGTGCCCCTGAGGCAGCACCAGGTGAGCTGCTGCGACTGGCTGTTGAAGGTCATCTGCGGCGTGGTGTCCATCCGCACGGTGTATGCCTCGCACAAGCAAGCCAAGGTCTGCCTCGTGTCCCGCATCAGCTGCGAGCGCGCTGGCGCTCGCTTCCACACCCGCGGCGTGAACGACGATGGCCACGTGTCCAACTTCGTGGAGACTGAGCAGGTCAGTGCCCGGGCCGGTCAGTGGAGCCCGGTGGCTCGGAGGGGACCCAGCGGTGCACATGCGTTTCCGTTTGGGGCAGAAGAGGTCCGGGCATGTTGGAGGTCGTCTCTGGTCACTGTGGTTTCTTCCTCTGATTGGAGAACAGAGCGTCACTGGGGCTCTGCCTGTACGTGTGGCCTCAGGTTTGCCTGGGCTGGCTTTCTCGATCCGCTTTTGCTGGGCTAAAACTGATCCCCAAGGTATATCCAGCTATGAGGAAGCAGGAATTCTTGCCATGGTCATAAAGGGTGGTGGTTATTTGAGAGGACAGGTGAGGGATGAACCCGCAGGCTTGGAAAGTTTTCTTGAGACAAAAAGTAAATCAATAAAACAAGGATGAGAGGAAAAACCATTTTTTATCCTAAATCAGCCCGAGCCTGTCAGCACCTGGGAGTTGCGAAATTGGTGTGTTGGACGGCACTTGGTTTCAGCTTCCATGAATATAACCATCTGCTTAATTTCGCACTGATTTTTACCCCCTAGATTCTGTTCTCATTCCCAGAGATGCTGTCTTACATTGGTTTTTGTTTTTTGTTGTTGTTTTTGTTTTCTCTCTAGGTTGAAAAATCTGTAGAGTAAGGCCGCCTTGTAGACTAACAGGTGGAATAAATTGTAGGAAAGGCAAGCCCCGTGAAAGGCACAGGTGTCCCGTGGCTGTGGGTGTCACACGGCAAACAGCCCGTGTTTACTGCATCTGCTCCTTCCTGCAGCTGTGAGAGGTGGCGTCTACCAGGCCTTGAGCCAGTTTAATTCAGCACAGATCTGAGCACCTGCTTTCTATGCGAGAGCCACAGCTAGCTTGGGCTTGAGGTGAGGAGGTCCTCTTGGAGTCGGATGCTGAGTAGGAGGACTTTGGAATGGGAGCTTCAGGTGATGGGCAGGGGCACTTGCTTGCCTGTGACTTCTGTTCATTCTCTGCTCTCCTGGGTATAAATAATATCTGGTTTAAAATGTCAGGAAAAAATGTGGCCCCGAGATGGAGGGCATTTTCTTTTTTTCTTGCTCATGTCCGCGCCATGAAGAGTACTTCCTATTCTTTGCACGGCCTCACCAGCCTTAGCACTGTCCTGTCCCCATGCTTATCCTTGCATGATGAGGCTCTGAGTCAGGGCATTCAACAGAACTTTATTATTTCTCATCTGTCAGGGGCTGAGCACTGTGTCGGGAACCAGGGGCCAGCGGTGCAAAGCCTATCTGTACAGATCAAAATATCCGTGCCCCCGAACCTAGTAACTGAGCTAGATGGAAGAGGGTTTCACTGGCAGCACTGGAGCTTGGCCCCAGCCTTGCTCTCCGTCTGGCTTTTCAGTAGATAGTCCCTTGTATACTCTTCTTCTTCTTCTTCTTCTTTTTTTTTTTTTTTGGTGCTCTCCAGAGTTGTGAGTTTTAACCACATTTTTTAAAAATTGGGGTCTCATCTATTATATCTTACCAAGTAAGTCATTGGAAAAGCACCTGCCCTCCTTTTGGGCATTTTAACCCTGTAGATGTCGGCTGCTAAAACAAAGTACCACGGACAGGGCTTAAAACAATCAGAATTTATTGTCTCATGATTCTGGAGGCCAAGGTCCGAAATCCGGGTGTTGGTGGGACCATGCTCCCTCTGAAGCCCCTAGAGGAAGATCCTTCCTGTCTCTTCCAACCCTGGGGGGGTCCCTCGTTACAGCCCTCCTGTCTCTGCCTCACCTCCATGTGGTGGCCCTCTCCCCTTCAACGAGGAGGCCCGCTCTGTCCAGTACGTCCCATCTTAACTGCTTAACTGTCTCCAAGTAAGGTCACATTCCAAGGTGGTAGGGGTTAGGACTTCAACATCTCTTCTGGGGGCACATAGTTGAGCCATAAAGACATCAGTGTTAAGGGACCGTACTTTTAATGCAGTACATTCAGCTTTATGGAAAATGTCGATACTGTACTGCTTTTCTCATTTTTCAACAGACCAGGGCTGGGAACGTTGCTCTGGTTATTTCATCTACGAGGACCTGGTGACTGGCATTTGTCCCATGGGCCTGATTGCTTGGGCTCAGAGATGGGGACCTTGTTGCCTCGAGGCCGGCCCGGCAAGGCCTTAGAGACACCCCCGGCCTGCCCTCAGGCTCCTGGAGCTCACAGCCCCGTGATTTAAATGGCCACCACCTGCCTCCCTTCTCAGGATGGAGGAGGGATTTCCTGGTTCACGCAGCCTTTCTGGTCTTCCTGCTCTGTGTTTTCTCTCCCATTTCCTCTTCCGGACTCTGGATCAGGCAGAGGTTGCCTTGATGAAACCCTCAACCCTGCCTTGCTCCAGAGGCCATGGGCAAGCCGACAGGCAGCCGGACACCCCCACCCTCTGCTCCCCCAGAGATGGGCGGTGAGTGTGGACCTTCTCTGGGACCGGCATGGCTCCTTGGGCCCGTGGTGATTCTGTTTTTATGGGATGTGTAATGGGGCAAGGGGGTCATGGTGGCTTTGCACCCAGAGTTCTTTGTGGGGCTACTCCCAGCAGACCCCATGCTCTCCCAGGATGATTCATGCCTTCAGAGAGCCCCGGACAGTGTGACCACCATGGTGTGGGGTGGGGTGTGGCCAAGAGTCGGTCCCCAGAGCTGACTCCAGGTGTGTCCTTGTCAACAGGGGAGCAAACTCTGAGCCCCTCAGCTGAGTGCGGTTGTGAGCCCATTCAGGCAGGGAGGCAGCAGGAGCAGGACAGGCCCCCTCATCATCCTGGGAGTGCTCCCCACAGTCCTGCCTGCAGAGGGATGGGGAAAGCCGACAGAGCAAGGGAGGGCAGGGGCCCGTGGCATGGCCCTGGATCAGGAGGAAGGCACAGAGGAGACTGCGGGCGGTGGTGAGGGTGTGCGCTTCCCGAGGAAAGCATCGGGCTCAGGGACACCCTGGGGAGCCAGCCCAGCCCAAATGGGGGGGGGGTGTCAGCCACTTCCTGAAGCGGGGAGCATCTGCCCCTGGGGCTTGTCCCCTCTCCTGAAGTGTTTCCAGAATGAGCAGGCGTGGCTGGAGGGAGGCAGCTGCTCCCCAAGAGACCAGAACCTCCCGTTGCTCCCACTCGAACAAGACAGCCACTTTCTCCGTCTCTGCGGTCCTGCAGTGGTTTTGTTTACGGCCCTTTGTAGACATAAGTTGATCTAAGTTTGTTTTTAGCACAGAAATCTTTTCCTAAGTGGAATCTGCACGTCACCAGTGTTCCCGCCAAGCACAGCTCTGCCTCCCTCCCTCTGCTCCCTGCTGCCCAAGGGGCTTCTGAGCACCAGTGCCCCGGGACACGAGCAGCCTGCAGGTACCTGCGGCCCTTGGGGCGGCTTGGGAGGGGAGCCACGCAGGAACCAGCGGGGGGCTTGCTGAAGCCCATGTTGAACTTGGCCCATCAGGACTGTGGTGATGTGCTGGGCACCTGGGGGAGTCGTTCCCGGGGGCCCGCCTGGCCCGCTGCCAGGTGCTGGCGGAACCGAGACGGGCTGGCCGGAGTCAGGACGGTGCTGTGGGGTCGCGTGCACCTCCCTGCAGTCTCCGTGGCTTTGCTCAGGGGGATGGCAGAGTGCGGCTTGCATCCTGAGGACTTTGAATCAAAGGGATGCTGGAGGCGGAGTGGGCTTGATTCGTTCCTGCTCATGGGGCTGCCTGCTTTGTGACCCCCAAAGGGGCAGGCTTTGGGACACAGGCTCCTCACTAGAGAGTGGCAGGCAACTTCTTGGAGGAAACGTGCTGAGCTGTGGCGGGGAGGGGTCTCAGCCGGGTCCTCTTGGCTCCTCTTGGCTGTTGCCCACAGATCCCAGGCCCCTGCTGGGAAGTGAAGCTCTCCAGACCCCAGCCCGTGGCCGTATGCGAGTGGGGGTCCTCCGCTAAATGCTTGAGGGGGGCTGATGAATTGCGGCGCTGTGCTCCTTTGCAAATGGTGGGACTAGACGGAGAGTGGGTGAGTCCCCGAGGCAGGGTCTCTCCTAAGCTAAACGCTCAGGGAGCCAGAAGAGGGAGAGGTTTTTGGCTCCACCCGCTCTGCCCTGCTTCAACATTTTCCCTAAGAGGAAGGAACAATTTTCTTCTCTGAGGCGGACCGTGTGTGTGCGCACTTATGTGTAGTGTGTAAGTGTGCATGTTTGGGGGGGTTCGTGTGTGTGCATGCACAGGTGTGTGCATTGGTGTGAGTGCGTGTTTGGGGGGGTTCCATGTGTGTGCATTGGCGTGTGTGCATTGGCATGAGTACGTGTGTGGGGGGTTGTTTTGCGTGTGTGTGTGTTTGTGTGTGTGTGTGTGTGGTGCATGCATTTGTGGACCTCATCTCAGTCTTCCTGGGAAGAAGCCTGGAGTCCTTTCAGCTCTGTTGTGAGTCATACCTGGTAGGATTGCTCTGACTCACCGGGCAGAAAAACCCCAAAAAGTCCCTTTGGTCTACTAAAAGACCCCCCCCCCCCAAAAAAAAGGAAGAATATTTGGCTATTAAAGATAAGGGCACGGATCAGTCCGGACAGGTGAGGTCAGCTGCATATCCTCCCAGAAATGCAGCCCACTTGGGAAGCATTGGTTTGCAAACCCCTCGCCTGGAAATGGGATTGAGCAAAAGCCTTTCAGATGAAAGAGTACCTGTTGGGTTGCAGGAGTTCCTGCCTTATCCCTTTGTTTTTAGGGTCCTTGGGCTTCTGTTCCCACCACTCTGTAGAAAGGGGCCGCTCCTGAGTTGCCAAGACCGGGCAACAGGGTCTGTCAGTCCTCTGCAGGGGCCTCATCCGCACTCCTGGCCGGCGCTCTCCTGCCCTCAAGAGCCACGAACCACCACCGCGTGCTGGGATCACCTTCCCTCATTACTCATTTACTCCTCCCTGTGACCGGGTGACAGTAACTCCACTGAGAGAGGGAAACTGAGGCCCAAAGTGGTTAAAGAATGTGCCCAGGGTCACCCTGCAGGGCACATGGGAGCTGGCAGGTGGAAGGTGCTGTCCCAGAGCCCACGTGCTGACCCACTTTCCTCCTTCACCCTCCTCTCCCCTCCCCCTGTACCCCAACACCCTCTGGGAAAACCACTTCCGGGAGGCGAGGCATCAAGGCTGCGGGGAGTATGAAAACCTGTGTTCTTCAGCTCAGGAAGGAAAGTGCCGCAAACCCACTGCTGGTTTTGTCTTATCACCTTGGCAACAAAGAACGTGGTCCCGATGATGAATGGGACGCAGCACTGGAATATCTTCACGTGGGAGGGAGGAGTGGAGAGAGTGAGAGGCGGCTTTTCTTCCCGTCCCGGGGTGGGGTGGGGTCTGGAGTGTGGGGCCTCCTGGTGGGTGTTTTCTGAAATCCATTCTGCCTGTGCAAGTTCTGGCTCAAGAGGAGTGTGGTCTGATGCTAGAAGCAGCTCATTTAGCACATGTTTAAGTGAAGGGTAAGCGTTCCATAGCTTAAATCAGGTCCTGGCGCTGTTAAGGGCTATCCTGATAGAGAATGTTGGCGAAATTGGTTTCTTTCTCAGTCATCTGGACCTGTGTGCTCTTGATCTCACTGAAGTCAACGAGGCCTGCATGAGTTTAAGCAATCTGTTTCTTTCTTCTGTTTTTGGTGGTTTGCTTTCTTTTGTTTTAAGATTTTATTTATGAGAGAAAGAGAGGGAGCATGAGCTGGGGGGAGGGTCAGAAACGGAGGGAGAAGCAGACTCCCCGCTGAGCAGGGAGCCCAATGTGGGCATGGATCCCAGGGCTCAGGGATCATGACCTGAGCTGATGTCTTATCAGACTGAGCCATCCAGATGCCCCTGGTTTTGGTTTTTGGTTTTGGGTTTGTTTGTTTTTGTTCTTATTTTGAGCAGAATAATAGGGGGAAGCCAATTTGCTGCTAGTCCGTATCCAGAAACAGACCAGTTCTTAACCTGATGCTTTTCCCTTGGGAAAGAGGAGTTCAGCTCAACTCCATAGGTACAAGGCTCCCGTAATTCCTGTTGTCCCAGGGAGCTGCGGGTCCGATGCTCAGGTCCGCCGCTGAATTACTAATGCATGTGTGATCTGAGCGAGATCTAGCCGCTCGGAAAGCTACCCTGTAAGGGAGCAGGCTGGTAAGAGATGGAAAGGATCAGCAGTGCTGCCCAGGCTGGCCCTGCCAGGCCAGGGTAGAATTACTCAGATAAAGGGCCGTGCGTCTGATCAGCCCAGCAGCTTCCCTGCGTGATGCTCTCAGCACTGCACTTCTTGTCCCTGTAACGCTCCCTTGCATACTGTGTTGGGGGGGGGGACCTACAGGCAGAGGAGCTGGTATCCCCCAAAAATAATGGTGTGTGTTGGCGGGGGAGGAGATCCGTTCTTTAGCCGGTGAGTATCCCCTGCTTCCAGGCAGGAGCACCCCCCCCGCCCCCTGGAACCCTGTGAAAGCTGTGCCGTGTATGTTGACATCGTGGAGGGTTTAAGAACACGGTGGCATACGGCCAGCAGCGACTGCTAGTTCAAGTCAAGTCTTGGCCTGCACTGTCAAGGGCAGACTCCAGGACTCGTGTGGTCACCCCGGTCTTTTGGCCATCGCTTGTTGGTTTCATCCAACCCTTTCCAGTTGCTCTCAGCTACTCAGCGGGTTGACGAGGTGAAAACAGAGGGCTCTGAGGAAGGTCTTAGTTAAATTCCAGAGCACATTTGCCTCCGTCCCTGCGGCGGCAGTGGGGAGGCGTTGCTGGGCTTCCTTAGTCCCGGGCAGCTGCGGCTCCCCCCGAGGCCCCGTGCCCGCCGCAGACTCCTCGCAGGCTGGTCAGCCGCCAGCACGCCCGTGAGCACACGGGGCTGGCCTGTGGGTCAGGGAGCGGCGAGGCCAGGCTGGCCAGGGGAGCAGAGGGCGCAGAAGTCTGCTGTCTGCCCTTCATTCGGGCTGGTGTCGGGTCTCAGGCGGCCGGATCCCGTTACCCGGCCCCAGGACATTCGGTTTCATTGAGGAATACTTTCCCTTTATGTTTCCTTGCGGTGCAGACGATTTACATGGATGACGGAGTGTCGTCTTTTGTCCAGATCAGAGGCTCCGTTCCGCTGTTTTGGGAGCAGCCAGGACTTCAGGTAGGTAATGAGAAAAGTAAGTCACCTGCCTCTCTCTTCTGAGCAACTGTGGTTTGTTGCTTTTAACCGTATTTCCTTCAGTTTCTCAGCTCGTTCCTCCGGCCCCGCTGGGTTGAGCTGAGCTGCCGAAGTGTGCACCCGTGTGTGTGTGTGTGTGCGCGTATACGTGTGTTTAGATACTGAAATGTATATGTTGTATCTGATTTTCTGACCCTGAACTTGCTGTCGATGCCCGTGACTTGGGAAGGGAGGCCTTTGCTGAGAAGCGAGCCACATCACATAATTAAGTAGAATGACTTTGTTAGCCCCCAAGTTCAGTGTATTGGGAACACGGCCAAAGATGTGTTTTGAGAGCTGTGACTGTCCCACGGAGCTTTGAGAGATTTTTGGGCCCTAGTGGCCATACAGCAGGTCCGATGGCCAGAGTCCCTGCTATGGGGACACGTGAGAATGGCACGGAACTTTCCCCTGATTTCTAAAAATACACCTTGCGGTCTAAAACAGGGCTCTGGTCTGTGCCAGAGGTATTTGGCATTCTTTCTCCCGGGGAGCATTCAGGGCGTGGTACCACGTTCCAAGGACATGTTTGTTGTCCATGGACCCGGGCACTGTCTCGTTCGCGAGCTCCTTCCGCGCAGGTCACGGGCTGAGTGGGTCTGAGGTTCCTCAGTGTCGACCCCAGATCTTCCCCTCTGGCCGAAGAGGTTGTCTGCGTGCCTGGAAGGCCTCCCCGCCCAGGCCTCTGTGGCTCGGGCTCCTCTTATGCTGTGTGATGGCAGTTGGAGCCTCAGGAAGCTTAGGGCCGTCTGCCAGGGGCTTGGGGGGTGTTTGACACCACCGGGTCTTTCCCCAGCCCTTGACTTGACCCCGTGGCCATCGTTGTGCCATGGGCAGCCTTGATAAGGAAACATACCAGCTCTTGGAGTGAAGTGGAGGTGTGAGGGTCTCCTGGGGCTCTCACTTCTGGGGGAGGGAGAAGCTTCTCTGGCCTTCAGTCTTCCCATCAGAAAGGAATGACTAAGATGCGTGAGGACAGCTGGTGGCGTTACGTGATGGCATAGACACCCCTGAGCCTGATTAGGAGGGGGAAGATGATTCTGGACCTCATCCCAAGACAGTTTTTCTAAATGGCTTTATTGTGATCTAATTTACATACCATAAACTGCACCCATTTAAAGGTACAATTCAGCAGTTTTTGGTGCATTTACAGAGTCATGGAACCATCACTGTGACTAATTTTACAGGGTTTATCACCGCTAGGAACCCTGTCCTTACTGGCCGTCACCCCTCCCCAGGCCCTCCCAGCTCTCCCCGAGGCCAAAGCAACTGTCATTCTACTTTCTGTCTCTATAGTACGATTTACCCGTTAGAGACATTCCAAAAAGGGTTTCTGAAATTTGATTTTCTTTAGGTTTGGAGTTTTCCTTCTGAAAGTTCTGGAGCTGTGTATTTAGAAGAATAAAAAGCAAACATCAAGTGAGGAGGAGATGAAAAGGAAGCAGGACACAAAGTTGGGTTTCACATGAAGATTTTAAGAAATCGAGAAATGGAGGTGGTCGTGATAGTCTTGGAATTGGGAAGGAGCCTTTGAAATTCATCCCCTTTGCCCCTGCGTCGAGTTCCGGGTCCTTCTGACCTCCGACGCTGACCTTGAGACCGGGATTTGGGATGGCCACGATTACCCGCGGTCTCCTCCTTGCCTCACAGGCTGGCTGTCTGCAGGGTGTGGCGGGGGATGCGTCAGAGTGACTCTGATTCCCCAGACCTTCAAGAAGGTTCTTCTCTCCCTTATGTCTTGTCCGAGGCCTTCCAGCACTTTGTCATCTTCCACCCCATTCCTAGGACTCCCTGTGTTCTGGTCTCCCTCTTCCCAAAACAAAGCAAAAGTGGTCCATCGTTCCCCTCCTTAATTTCAGTCCCAGCTTGACCCACTTGATGCTGCCTGACCCTGCCTTGGAACAGCTGCCCCTCAACCCAACACGGGCAGCCTCAGTGGGGGTCCGGGGGGCTCGCTTTTTGGCAGCTGTGGCACCTTCTAGATTCATCACATTCGCTTCCCTAGAACCACCGTGGTTTCTTCAAAATAAGCTTCCAAAGGCTTTAGTGTTCATTAATCTTACAAAGGATTTGCTAACCTTTGGGTCTCGTACCCGTGCTTACCCTCTGAAACCGTATCTACCATCAAAGAGAGATTGGGTCCTCTTCACAGGGCGACAAGGAGGGCAGCTCTCAGGGATGGTGTGCAGTCCCCCTCCTCCCGGAACTATCCATGGCAAGCCCGAGGACTGATTCTGGTGGCTTTCCTCCGCTCCTCCTTTACTTACGTTAAATGAAAAATGCTCAGATTTTTAGGCCAATAGCTAGCATCTTAAGTCGCAGTGTTGCACCCTCTGGGGGCTCCCCCGGGAACCGAGGCGCCCTGCCAGGGACAGGGCATAGGGGTGGGGACAGGCAGAGAGGACTTGGGACGATGACTTGTCTGCACATTTCCACAGCAGCGATGCCTTCCCTACAGGCTCCTGGATCCTGATGCCATTTCGAGCCACCGTGGACCTTCCACGATTTCCTCTTTACCATGTAAACAGCTTTGCAGTTTATAAATAGCCACACTGAAATCTTACACTTAAAGCTAATTGCTTTCCTGGTATGGTTAGCGAGAGTATATTTTCTGTATACTCGTGGTCCGTGGAATCCTCCTCGCCTGTCACACGCGTGTGCAGACGGGTCTTGCCAAGGGGAGTGAGGTCTCTGTTTGACGCGTCCTATGACATCAGCAGCCGGAGGAGGTTGCAAGGTAGACCAGACCCTCCGCTGCTCCCAGCTTGTCCACACTCGCCCCCTCCCTGTCGCACTGTTACTAGGCTCTTGGGTACGAGGCCCTTGATGTGCTCCTTTGTGTGGGCATGATTGTGTTTTTTTTTGGTTTTTTTTTTTTTTTTTTTTTTGTCCCCAAAAGGATGTGAATGGCTTGTAGCGCAACAGTTTCAAAAATAAGACATTGGGGTGAGGGAAAGATCCTTCTCAGGCAAGTGACCCGAATCCGCGCACGCACCGTGGGTCCGGGTCTGTGTTCGCACCCGCTCCCGTGTTTACAGGCTGCCGCTGCCAGAAGGATCCCAATCGCCAGGAAGCTTCTCCTGTGACTCGGAGCACAAGCTTCGAGGTGACAGGACCTGGTTCTGGTTCAAGTTCTGGCTCCCCCACTTAGGAACCGTATTCTTTTAACAAGTTTTTATCTCAGAAAAACGTTCTTATCAAAACAAAAAACAAAACAAAACCCACAAATCTGAGAAGTTCCTATCTTTGCTAAGCCTTAGTTGACTCCTCTGTACATGGGGTTAACAGTCGACCTCCTGGGGTTATGGGGAAGATGAGCTGTCACGACGCATAGTCGAATTCAGCGCAGTTTCCAGAACCCGGAGGGCACACAAGTGGTAGCTGTTAATGTTATCAACGTACATTCTACCGTCTAGGAGACGAGAACACAGGTTGCATTGGGAAAGCTTGGCTCTCCGGAGTGAGTGTCGCCCGTCTCCACGAGGCCCGTGAGGTGGGACAGTGTCCACGTTGTCTCTGTCAAGATGAGGCCCAAGGACCAGGCTCCCAGGTGTCCCATAACCCCCCCCCCTCAGAGCAAGCCTTTTGTCGTCCCACAGACACTCACTGAGCATCTGTGGGTACATGGGGGCACTTTACATCACAGCCCGTGCCTTCGGGGAGGGGACAGGTCACGGTAGGGTGGTGTGAGGAGAGCCCCGGAGGGAGGAGGCCCAGATCCCTGGGGCAGCTGTGGGGAGGCCCAGCTCGCCCAGACTCCAGTTGGGTGTCTGAACCAACCTGGGAGGGATGGGGCCGCGTCAGGCAGGGAAGGGATCCCGCAGAGGGGACCACACACGCAGGTGTGGTGGCCCAGCACTCACAGTGTGACCCAGGAGTGGCGAAGCTAAGCTGCTTGCAGCCCGAGGCATGGCGGTCGTGGCCAGACGTCAGACCGGAAGGCCAGGCACGGGCCAGATGGAGACGGGCTTTGTGTGTGAGGCTGAGGAGTTTGCATTTTACTGCGGGAGCTGCTGGGGGGAGGCACCCCAACTTGGCTGCGCTGGGTAGCTTATAAAACACCTGATACCGGGGTTGCCTGCTCTCCCAATTAAATCGCAGCATCCAGTCGTCTGTGACTGGGATCTCTTCCTGCTTGTAGAAGAAGCAGCTCTGGGTTACGATCCGGGGGGAGGCTGACATGTCCAGTCACAGAACTTGCCACGACTAAACACCAGGCTCTGAGCCCTGACCCGCTGTCTGTCCGCTCTCCCCTTATGCCTTCTCCTGGGAAGGTTCCGGGGCAGACGGTCACTGACGGACGGGCTGACCACAGCAAGCAGCCCCCTCGTCTTGGGCTTCAGCCCTCGGGGATGTCACACACAGTGGCTCAGAGGAACGAGGGCCGCTTCCCGCCAGCGCCCGCCTCGTGAGCTCAGAAGACAGGAGATAACGGGACGCAGAGCGCGGGGGACAGCCGTCTTCTCGGGGCGCGGCCCGGGTCTGGGCAGTGAAGTCTCGCATGTCCTCAGCCGGGGGTCCGTGCCTTCGGGAGCAGGAGCCCAGAGTAAGCACGGCAGCGGGCTGAAGACGACTGCTGGAGCTTCTCCTAGGGCTTCCCAAGGCTTCTTAGGACCTAAAGGGACGTGGGACTTTGTGGAATTATTTGGATGGACATGCCTAACCCCAGGATTTCTAAGTCTGTTGCTGAGAAGCCTGTCGTCTAGACTGGCTTTTTCCCAAGCATGAAGACGGACAGATGTGTGACGTGTGGCGGGAAGACTTGTAAATAACACTTGGCCCACACCCAGCAGGGACGCTCGATCGTGTGGACGAGCCCCATGACACCGCGTTTATGAAGCCCCATAACCGGCAGAGCCGAACAATACACTTCAAGAACGTTCTTTCTTAAAATCATTCCAGACCTGCATAGAAGTTGTAGGAACATAGGTGAACTCCCATGCGTCCTGTCCCAAGATTCATGGGACACGAACCCCTTGCTGCCCACACACATGCCATCCGCTCCTTCCTGAACCCCTGGAGGTCGGGCTGTGTGTATCACGCGTCCTTACTTAGGATGTCAGGATGTTTTTCCTGAAAGCAGGTGTGTTCTCTTGCATCAGCACGGGACGGGTGCACGGTCAGCGGGTGTGGCACGGTGCTCCAAACTCACCTGCAGTCCACAGTCCAGATTTATCCATTGTCCCCATGCTGCCCGTCACCTTCCCCCCTTCGGTCAGGGATCCAGGATGCAATCCTGCCCTGCCTGTCGTTATCACGTCTCTAGTCTGCTCTGATCCGGATCCTTTCCTCTGCCTTCTGGCTCTTGGGCATTGATTTTTTGGAGGATGCTGGTCTTCTCTTTCTTTAAATCGAAGGTGCCTCATGTGAGGGTTTCCAGGTGTTTTATTACAGTCAGGTTCAGGGTGTGGATCTTTGACATGACCCCATCCTTGTCGGGATGTCCCATCTCTGTCCCACGTGTTCCCTCGTTAGTGATGTTAATTTCCATCACTCAGGACGGTGCTGCTCTGTTTCTTTCTTTATAGTTAATATGTCTTCCTTTTCAGCTGATAAGCGTCTGTGGAAGACCCAGACCATCAAACTGTCTCTGAATGCTTATGATCAACAGGTGATTTTTGCTGAACCGTTCTTTACTATGATGGTTGTAACATGGTAATTTTTTCCACCACTGTCTCCACATTTATCGATCAGTGTTCCGTAAGGAAAAACCTCTCTCTTTGCCCCTGTCCACCAGCCCACCTCTCTGTCCACTCACCTGTCCATTCATGCACCAGCCGGCTCTCCTCTGTAGAGGTTCGTGAGTTCCTATCTCATTTATCTCATCATAATCCATTACTGTCACTTACAGTTCAGCGTTCACACTGTCCCCGATTCATCCAGGGAGAGCCTTTTCGAGCTAGCCCCAATACCACTATGTAGTTTTGTCTTTTCAACTTTTGATGTTCAATAGGTAGTTTGAAACATAAGGCAGATTAGTTTGCAGGTAGCCATAACTCAGGTTTTAGGGGTGGTCGAGGTCCCCAGACTTGCAGAGGAGGCTGAGAAGTGGTTCCTCTCTCCCTGGTTGGCTGGCGTTCGCCTCTGCACTGTGGAAAAGTCTCCCGATCTGACGTGGGCCTCGTGGGCTGACCCTGAAGTTTCTCTTCTGCCTTTGGAAGAATTCCAGCCAGCACGGGACCCACACAGCTGTTAGGACAGGCTGCCGCAGAGCCAGACTCAGGCTTTGGGACCTGAGTTCAAGGCCGGCCTTCCAGATCTGTGAATGTGCCACAGAAGGGGAGCCTGGCTGGCAGCGAAGGGGGTGGGGAGGACTGTCACTTCCTGGGTTCACGGAGCAGGAGGAATCACTAGTGTTATTTCTCTTTGCTTTAGGTTGGCTCTCATCATCTGAGACTCAACAGAGGCCTCGAAGCCAATGCCCCTGCTTTCGACAGGTAGGGTTGTCTGATACCACCCTAAGCCCCCCGTCCTTTTAGGAGTCTTCCGCCAACCAGATGGGACAGCGGGAGGGGGAGGACCCCAAATCCTGGCCCTGCCTCTGCCTTTTACTTTGGTTCTTTGGGCAGGAGGGGAGTTTACAAAATGGGATTTTTTAGTGGCTCTCGGGTTTTCCTGAGGTCACTGAGGTGACCCTTGGCAATTATCTTACCAGCCCGTTCTTTAATGAAGCTTTATCCCTTTGTCCTAGTTAACAAAGGATAACGTAAATCATAGGATATTTGTGACTGCTTGTTTTTCTTTTAAAAGCAATATAGTCCCAGACTTAAAAAGTCATAGTCTAGAAAGGTATAAAATGAGAAGTAAAAGTAGTGTTAACTTCCAATTCCCGCTACTAAAGATTTCACTGCTAGATTTTCATGTATCATTCTAGAAGACCATTTCGCAGATATACAGTTCATTTTCTGAACCACAAACTAGACCATTACGCGTTTCCTGTTACAGAACTTTCTTAAGAAAAGCCATCGGTCAACTAAACAGTAACTCGTATTTGACATAGTTAATCGCTTCTTAAAATATTTGCATGTTTAACCTGAATACTAATTTTAGAAATTAGTGAATGTCGTAAAAATTCCAAGAGTGATTTTTTTTTTTAAAGGGTATTAGTCATTCTGCCTGAAGCTTGATTTGGATGTTAAATCCGCACACGTCCTTCCTGTGTACCGTAGACTAGCAATGGCAGCCCGTGACCGTGAATTAGCACATCATCATTAGTGGGTTGTCACCCTAAAGAGGGTTGTGTGTGCACTTGAATATGCTCTTGCCTGTGTTCAGGACTGTTCATGTGTTCTGTGCATTGTGTATATGGAGTTGTTGTAGGAGACTTTGATCTGCCTTAAATGTCCTTAGGAAATTGAAAACAAGATTCCTCCCCAGCTGACCGCAGTGGAAGGAAAAGGGCATGCATGTTTGGCTTGTTTCAAAAGCTTTGTGATGAGCTTTTAAAAAATACACACATTTTAAGAATGTTTACACCGATGTAAACATTTTTGAATCCTGTTAGTGTGCAGTGCATGCCCAGAGAAGATAGGCCCTCTCTTCTCACAGGAGCCCCTTCGAGACCGGGAGCCCTTCGACAGGCAGGGGCCGCTGGAAATGGGGCCCATGGCACACTCCTTTCCTAAAGTGGCCGAGCTGGGGATCCCTGCGCCCTCTCGGGCCTGGGGCCACAGCTGCCTGGCCTCACGTTGGGTGCTGCCCCAGTGCGCCCATTTCACTGACGGGTGGGAATGCGGGCATGTGCTTCTCCAGCAGACCCACTGAGGGGGTGCAGACCGCTGGAGGGGTGCCCCCATCTCTGGGACATCAGGGGACTCTCAGGAATTTCTCCCTTCTTTGATGTGTTTGGTCTAAAGTAGATCCCTTAACGCCCTCAACCCATCCCCACAAAACCCCTTTCCCTGGGTAGTTCGTGTACACACAGAACACCTGTGGCCAGGGCTGTTCAGTTCCCTAGGTTGTTCCCTGTTTCCTCTCCTCTGCCTGCTGTGCGGGGTGTGGGGTGGGGAGGAGGTGCCCTGAGCAGGCCTTGGCTGTGCCGGCCTGAGGAGGACATTGTCTCGCTGGTAGAGTTCGGATGGCAGTGTTAACCTTTCGTGGGGGCCGGCGTCTGGGTCTCACTTGTGCAGAATCCTGCCCTCCCCTTCCTCCCTCTCTTCCTGCGGAGCAGCTTACCTCTGCCGTCCCAGGGTGGACGCTAGGGGGCCTTTCCCTGCTGGCTGCTCTGTTATGCCCTGCCTACCCGGCTCCACATGCTCCAGAAAGCCCCTCGGTTCTCCAAGGAGCTCTGCACCACAGTAACCCAGATGCCCAGAGCAGGGAGGCCGGCCTGGGTCTTGCTGGCTTCAGGGTGGGCTCCAACATCCCCCCGGGAGCCCTGAGGTGAGTCTTAGTGTATCACTAGTAAGTGTATTATCTCATTTTAAAATTAAAAAGAAGGAAAGTGGGGCACCTGGGTGGCTCAGTCGGGTAAGTGCCTGCCTTCAGCTCAGGTCATGATCCCGGGCTCCTGGGATTGAGCCCCAGTCAGGCTCCCTGCTCAGCAGGAGCCTGCTTGTCCCTCTGCCTCCGTGCACGCTCTCTCTCTCTCTCAAGGAAATAAAATTTTTTTTAAAAGGAAGGAAAGGAAAACCAGCTCTCCCGTGCCAAGCCCTGACTTGTACCTTTTGTCTTTTTAGCCCTCAAAACTGTCTTTTACAGGAGGAGCATTAGGTTTATGGTACAGACAAAGGAGTAGCTCAGAAGGGATAGAAAATCTGGTCAAGGGTGCTTGGGGCTGGTGTGATGGGCCACATTGTTGCTCGTCTAGCTCTGGGTTTGGAACCTGTTGAGACGCAGGGTCACGCATCAGCCTTATTTCTAATAAGCTTCATTGTGGCAGGTGGCTTGCATTTCACCCCCAAATCACGGGGCTCACTCAGTGACCGACAGAGCTGGGCAGCTCAGACTTGCCCCAGGGCAGAGCCTGCCCTCTGGCTCCCTCTATCTGACCTCTGGACAGGATACACCTTCCCCGGGCAGGCAGACCCAGAAGAGCCCTGCGCACACTCCATTTGTTCTCGGACCTTCCCCCAGAGCACAGGCTTGTGCAGAAGCCCTATGGCATGAGTCAGACGGAGCCCTACCTCCTCCCTGGTCGGGGACACCATGGGGAGGGTGGGGCTGCCAGGAGCTCACCCTAAAGGAGTCAGCAGAGGACCTCAATTCAAACTACCCCCTTCAGAATCCATATTCTACTATACAGTGCTACCCGCAAATTTGGTGAGAGAGCGTCTTTTTCCTTTATTGGGCTAAAACTGGTTCCTTAGCGCTAATTAACTTAAAAAAATGTCAGCCTAGAAATTTGGAAAATGCAAAATGTATAAAGAAGAAAACGATTTTGAGTCACATACAATTCTACCATTTTTAATACTGTGGCATGCTATCTTCTCTTTTTTCTATCTCGAGGCATGAAGATTGCATGATGAAAATGCGGTTTACATCTCTTTTTTGTATTGTCTTCCCCTGTATTTTTTTTAAAATTACATTTAAGTAGTCCTAGTGTTAGTGAAGTTATCAAGTGAGCTTTTCAAAAGCTAGTGATAAAAGATAAATATTAGTCTTTCCCTAATATTTCAACATATGTGTTTTTTTAAGATTTCATTTATTTATTTATTTGAGGGAGAGAGTGGGCAGGGGGAGGAGCCGAGGGAGGAGGAGAGGGAGGGAGAGAGAATATCAAGCAGACTCCCTGATCCGACTCGGGGCTCGATCTTATGCCCCGCGATCGTGACCTGAGCCAAAACCAAGAGTCAGACGCTCAACCAACTGAGCCACCCAGGCACCTCACAACATACGTATTTTTTAAAAGTCTCTGATCTATGAATGTTTTCCTAAAGCCTGAAATTTTACCGTGCCTTCTTGCCTGGATCACACATAATTACATGTAATGAAATACGGCACTTAGATAACAGACACTGAGGTTAGCAACCCTCCTACGAGCTTTTCTAGCTTCGAGAAAGAAGGTCCCAAGTGAAATTAGAGATGAATTTCAGAAACACGTGTGTTGCGCTTCTTGGACCCCGTTAATAAAGGGCCAGGTTAGCTGTTCTGGATTCAACAGTGGTATTTTACAAAAAGTCTGGCATGTCCGTCGTTTGATGTTACACTCATGTAGAAGTCTGATGTGCTGTGAATTATTCTTGACCTGAGCCTTGCGTGCAAATAGGCTGTTGCCGGGCTTGTCCCTGACCGTGGAGTTGGTGGCTGGGAGAGAGTGGTGGTCTCCCCCCGACCACCCCCAACCAATTTTGGGTCTCGGGGAACAGCTCCACCTGGACCTCTGGTGCCAAACAGGTCCTTCCTGTGCCCCATACCCTCAAGGGTGGGGTGGCAGTCTGTGCGCTGGTGACACGGGGTCACGTGCTGGCCTGTGCCCTTGTAGGCATATGGTGCTGCTGAAGGAGCAGTATGGGAAGCAAGTGGTCGTGAACCTGCTGGGGAGCAGAGGCGGAGAGGAGGTGCTCAACAGAGCCTTCAAGGTAAACACCGCCGCGCTGCTTCTCGGGCCCTGCGGGGCGGGTGGCGGTGGGTGAGGGGCAGAACGACCCCGGCGCAGAGGCACGCTTCCCTGCAGGACTGGGAAGGGCACTGCTGTCACCACGCCTGGGGGGCTCTTTCCCACCAGCTCTGTTGCATGAGGTGATTTGGGCTCCTGAGATACAAAATTTAATTTTTGTGAGCTGACAGAGAATGTGCTCCAACACAGCATCCCCCACCTCCAGGGCTCCCTCTGGGGCTTGCAGGGCTCAGGAGAGCCAGGCCCCCTCCCTGGTTGTCTTGAGGACACACACACACACGGGCTTCGCCCCGCGGTCCCTGACCGTTCAGGGAGCCTGAGCTCCCTTCCTTCCATGGTCTGGCTCTGCCTCCTGGCGCGTTCACCGAAACACCTGCAGCGCCCTTGGCCGGGCGCCGTCCCTCAAGCTCCTGCTTGGTTTAAAGCAGGAACCTTAATGAGATTTCCTCCCGCTGACGTCAGCCAGCAAATCTTCATCCCTGTCTGGGCTGCCCTAGGGAGCAGCTCCCTGTGCCCAGCTCCCCGTGGGCTCCCTGTGGCCTCTCTGGGCACTTTGAGGGGTTGGGGGTGTGCAGAGGCGGGGGGCCAGACAGGGAAGGAGCCGGCTGAGGGGACAGCTCCGCCCACCTCACCAGGGCCTCTCCCTGTTCCCAGAGCTCCTGAGGGTCTCAGCTAGATGCAAGGCTCCAGAAGGAGCTATGGGCGATGTCCAAGTTCCTTTCCCAGGGGCCCGTGTCCCCCGCTTAACGGAGAGGAGCCCTCTGGTTGTTCCACGGTCCAGGAAGCCCCTTCGGGGGAGAGTGCAGTCGGACCTCGGCTCTCGGGAAGCAGTGCTTGCTGCCTCCCTGACTGCTGACCTCCAGCCGGCGGGAGCTGAGCCCACCGGGTGCCCCTTCCGCTCTGCGCAGAGAGGCCATGTGCGCAGAGCTGACTCCCTGGTGGCCAAGTTAGTCTGGCCAGACCTGCTTTTCCTGTTGGGTTTGTTGTTGGCAGTCAGCTTGCTGTGTCTCTCCCCTCCCAACCATCTGGGCAGCAACGCTGATGGCTTATATTAAGGGAAAAGAAGGAAAGAACAGAACCTCTTTTCCCTTTATGTCTTGAGTGCTGGAGAGGGCATGTCCTCAGCCCCGTCAGCCAGCAGCGGTGCACCCTGTGGACAGGCTCTTTGTCACGAGGGGGCCAGGAAGCGGCAGGGGTCCTGTGGCCCAGGGGGAGGAGGGCAGGCTGCTGGGCAGGGAGGCGGCGGATGCCGCCTAGAGGAGACCCGCTGGTGTCACATCGAGCGGCAGCTCCCTCGGCCCTGAGCTCCGTGCCCCGGACCTCAGTCACAGCCCGACAAGGTGCTCCCTCCAAACTGTGTCATCATGAAGGGGCGAAGGGGATACCACTCAGCTCGGCCAGCTGCTTTTATCTGGCAAGGCTCTCCGACGGCCACCGCCAGGCACTGGCTGGTGTTCTCGCTCCCAGTGGCGGGCACTTTGAGTTGCAGGGACCAGAGGGCCCAACGCTCTTCCAGTTTTTCAAGTTCACGGACTCTCTGGACAAGTCGAACCTGAAGCTATGCAGGAGGATCAGGGTGGGATGGACCTGAGGCTGGGTGTCCTGGAGAGGCCGCTGGCCCAGTTTCTACCCCAGGGCTCCTGAGAGCGCTCTGGAGTGCCCCAGAGGTTCCTTGTGTTGGGGGGAGGCCTCCGTCAGGAGCCCCAAGCTGCCTGGAGCCCCTGCTACCCCCATCTCTGGCCTTGCATCCACCCCAGTCCTGCACCAGCCTGGGCCTGCTGGCCCTGACCCCTCGTCACCCCTTCCTGCCATCTCACTGGGCCGTGTGTCCGGCACCTCCCCTCATGGGGACCCAGAGGACCCTGGTGGGAGGATGGGGCACCAAGGAGCACACCCACCTGAGGCTGACGCTTGCCTGGGTGGCACTGGTTACCTGGCAACGGGGAGCTGGATTATGAGCCCCCACCCTGTGGGCTGCCCCGTCCCTGAGAGGCCCATGGCGCTTGGGGGTCTGCAGAACCGTGTGGTCCTTCCCTCCTTGGCGCCCTCCCAGGAGCCCCGCGTGGCCGGGGGGGTGATGTCAGTTCAGAGCTGCGAGCCGGGGAGGCACGGCTGCCAAGGCTGTCTTCGGCCCGGGCTGGCCCCCTGCCCTGCTGCGGGCAGGATGCTCTTTGCAGTGCTGCGCTCCGAGGCTCTGTCCTTCCATTTCAGGGTCGGGGCGCATGAATAGCTCGGTCCCCCACGTGCCTTCAAGCCGGAGCGTGGGCCCTAGCCGGCGCGGTTAGCCTCCCCCTCCGACTCCGGCCACCAGAGGTTTGCAGTCCCTGCGTCCCGGCCCTCGCTCCCTGGCCACCCTCTCCCTCTCCACTTTCAGAAGTTGCTCTGGGCCTCTTGCCACGCCAGCGACACGCCTATGATCAACTTCGACTTCCACCAGTTTGCCAAAGGTGGGAAGCTAGAGAAACTGGAGAACTTGTTGAGGCCGCAGTTGAAGCTGCACTGGGATGACTTTGACGTGTTCGCCAAGGGCGAGAATGTAAGTCCACGGTGAGTCTCCCTCCGCCCGCCTCCTCCCCCGCCCACCGGCTGTGCAGCGGCACTTGCGGTCTCCGGGGCCACAGGGTCAGGCATGGGGGGGATCCCGGCTTCCAGTGCCTTCTTCCCCTTCCTGCCTTCAGACCATGCTCGTGAATTTGGTGACTGGATGGCCAAGTGTGGTTTTCTGGCAAAATAAATGATAAATAAAGGGACCAGGTGAAACCGTGGAGCTCTGGGGACCACAGAACTTACTGTCCGAACTGGTGAAAGCCCACGAGAGCGAGGAGGGACCGCTAGTGGCCAGCCCCGTGGCGCAGGGAGCCTGGGGTTGGGATTTTCCTGCTCAGCGCTGAGCAGAGAAAGGAACCCGCTTCGCTCAAATCACAATGCAGTCGATCCTTGTTCTTCAGATTCTATGTTTGCAAACCGGCCCATCGCTAACACTGATTTGTCACCCCAAATCAACACTCACGGCCCTTTCAGGGTCATGGACAGACGTGCTCTGAACTGTGAGAAATTTGAGTCCCTGAGTGCACCCTGTTCCCAGCCGAGGGGGAGCAAAGCAACGCTCTGCCTTTTGGTTTCGACTCTCCTACGATCAAGTGTCCTTTTTGTGGTCTGTGTGGTGCCCCGGGGTCATATCTTTGTGCATTTTATTGGTCATTTCACTGTTTAAAATGCCCCCTCCCTCCCAGTGTAGTGCCAAGAGCTGGCCGGTGTTCCCAAGCACGAGGCGGCTGTGCTGTGTCCGACGGGGACGGAGAAGCTTGGCGCAGCTCTCAGAGCGCAGCTGGCTCGGAGTCAGCGTTAAGCAGCGATGTGTGTTAAAGTGCCTTTAAACAGAAACACCCATAAAACAGGGTTATGTGTTGTGCAGTTGGGGAAAATGTGAGAGAGCAGAGGCTTGCAGGAACCCGACCCTCGGTTTCCCCTGGGAGCAGTAGTTCAGCGTGTGCTAATCTGCTAATGGTTCAGTTCGCTAATTTTTTCCTTTTTTAAGATTTATTTATTTATTTGCGACATAGAGCAGGGAGGGAGGGGCAGAAGGAGAGGATCTCACGCGGGATCCCTGCTGAGCAGGGAGCCCAGCGCGGGGTTCAGTCTCACGACCCTGAGGTCATGGCCTCATGACCTCAGCCGAAACCAAGATGCTTCACCGACTGAGCCACCCAGGTGCCCCTCAACTCGCTGATTGGTCGTGGCCCCTGTGTAGACATAACTATGGCGAACAATGAGAATCGGCATGTTTTATAACGACCCGGGTGTGCGTGCCGCTCCAGCCGTGCTGGGGTCCCTCAGGGTGTGCGCTGGGGATCCTGGCCGGCTACCAGAGTAGGCAAGGGTCGGCCCCAGTTTTCCCGGAGGCCTGCAGTCAAACGTAGGCCATCGTGCTGTGGGCTTTGTTCCTTCAACAGCTTGTAACCATTTGCATTTCTCGTCCCCCTAAGTTTTCAGAAAGGCACTTTGCGGATGAACTGTCTTGACTGCCTGGACCGAACCAACACGGTGCAGAGCTTCATAGCACTCGAGGTCTGTCCCTGCCATGCGAGGGCCCTTGGGCCACCTGGGTCATGTCCCATGCCTCCATCGGCAAGATGAGGGGACATCACTGGGCTAGCTTCCTAACGGGGGGAGCGTGGGGCAGAGATGTGCCAGGTGTCTAAGAGCAAGGTCTGCCTGGGCGGCTGGCTTGCCCATACCACTCGATGCCTTTGCCTTATTTGTATGCACACTATGTGGAATGCACTCCGGACATGGTCGCCCAGAGGAGCCTGGTGCCACCTTGAGAAACAGCGGTTCTGTGTAGTGATTGCTGTGAATATCCAGCTGGGCGAGGACAGTGTGAGGCGGGCTCAGATGCGGCGGGATTTGATGCCCAGGAGGGAGACCTGAGTCTGCCTGACGGCCCGCCGGCCCAGTGCCTGGCTGACCTCTCCTGGCTCACGGCTAGGGGGAGGGAGTGGGGTTTCTGCCGGCTGCCAGGCTGTCCCTGATTGCTCTCATCCCTCTGGTGGTTGGGGCTGGGCATGGGGGAGGAGGTCAGGAGTAAGGGGCCCAGAGGAGGGCTGCCAGCATGGTGAAGACCAGGTTGCCTCAGGTTGGGTGAGTGGTGGTTGGAAGCCCCACTCTTTGCTGCCAGGATCCCCCGTTCCCTGGAGGAGCACAGGGTGATCCACGGTCTGCCAAACAAGGGATTCACAGGGATGATGCCTGGTGACACAGACCCGAAGCAGCTGTGGGTGGTGGGAGCTTCCAGGTGGGAAGATGGTGACATCTGTCCCTTCCTTGTCATCCAGGTCCTTCATCTGCAGCTCGAGAGCCTGGGTCTGAACTCAAAGCCCATCGCAGACCGCTTTGTGGAGTCCTTCAAAGCCATGTGGTCTCTGAACGGGCACAGCCTTAGCAAGATGTTCACGGGCAGCAGGGCCCTGGAAGGGAAGGCCAAGGTAGGGGGAGACCGCAGGGAGAGAGGGAGGGCCTGCATGGATCCCTCTCATGGCCTCTGGTCTGGCCCGTGGCAGGTGGGGAAGCTGAAGGATGGGGCTCGGTCCGTGTCTCGCACTATCCAGTCCAACTTCTTTGATGGGCTGAAGCAGGAGGCCATTGAGCTGCTGCTGGTCGGGGATGTCTGCACCGAGGAGTCAGCAGACAAGGGAAGGACGCTCCTGGACAACACGGCCCTGCTGGGTAAGGGAGCTCCCGTTCCATGTGCATGGACGTTTCTAGCTGCCCGGCCACCCAGAGGGAGTGTTGGGGGTGGGGGTGTGCCAGCCAGCCCTTCCCTCTCCTCCTCACATAACCCCAAACAGACACTCCCCTGAGCGGGGCGTCCGTGCTCTGCCCTCTGGCCCGTGACTTCAGCTGGACCACGTGCCCTGAGCAGCCGACAGGTGTGGTTTGTGTTCTTTTATGAGACGACCAGTCGTGTGCAGCCACAAGAGGAGGCTCAGGAAAAAAACAGTTTATTCTTCAGATGGCAGGACATACAGGAGCGCCTGGGTGGCTCAGTCAGTTAAGTGTCTGTATCTTGACCTTGGGTCAGGTCATGATCTCAGGGTCATGAGATCGAGCCCCGCATCTGGCATCAGGCTCCATGCTCAGCCTATGGAGCCTGCTTAAGATTCTCTCTCTCCCTCCATCCCTCCCACTCTCACTCGTGCTGTCTCTCTCTCTCAAGAAAAAAAAAATGTACAGACCAAAGGTGAAAGGATGGAAAAAGAAGTTTTATGCAAATGAAAATAAAAAGAAAGCTGGTGTAGCTATACTCCCAGCAGACAAAAAGAGACTTTAAAACAAAGAATAAAAAGAGACAAAGAAGGGCATTACATAATGATAAAGGGGTCCATTAAACAAGATGACATAACGTATATAAATATATATGCATCCAACGTACGAGCACTAAGATATTTAAATATTAACAGGGCTAACGGGAGAAATTTACAGCAATACAATAGTCAGGGACTTTAATATCCCACTTACATCAATGGATATCGTCCAGACAGAAAACGAATAAGGAGATACATTGGCCTTAAGCAACACATTAGACCAGATGGGCTTAACAGACATAAGCAGAACATTCCACCCAAAAGCCAGCAGAATACACATTCTTCTTAAGTAAGTGCACATGGAACATTGTTCCGGATAGGTCATATGTTAGACCACGAAACAAGTCCTAATAAATTTAAGATGGAAATCCTATCATGCATTTTCTCTGAGTGCAGTGGGATGAAACTAGAAATTATAAGAAAACTGGAAAAAACAAAAACGTAGAGGTTAAACAATTGCTACCAAACAACGAACAATGGGTCATCAGAGAAACAAGGGAGCAATTTTTTAAAAGTACCTAGAGACGAACAAAAACAAATAAAATAGGCCATAATCTTTAGGACGCAGCAAAAGTACTTCAGTGGGGAAAGGGCCTAGCAACCCAGGCCTGTCTCAAGAAACCGGAGAGAGCTCAATCTAACTGTACAACTGAAGGAACTACAAAAAGAAGAATAAATGAAGCCCAAAGTCAGGAGAAGGAAAGAAGTAATAAAGATCAGAGTGGAAAATAAAGATTTAAAAACAGCAGAAAAGATCTACAAGTTGGTTCTTTGAAAAAAATAAAACAATAAAACTTTAGCTAGCCTAACCAAGAAAAGGGAGACGTCGCTAATCAGAAATGAAAAAGGAGAAATTACAGCAGACGCCACAGAAATACAAAGGCTCATAGGAGACTACTACATGTAATTCAGACAGCCTACAAGAGTTATGTAAATACCATTCTTCCAAGACTGGATCATGAAGAAATACAAAATCTGGATAGACCGATTATTAGGAGATTGAATCAGAAACCAAAAACCTCCCAAGCCCGGCACCTGGCTTTCTCAGTTAGTAGAACACAGAACTCTTTGATCTCTCAGGGTCGTGAATTTGAGCCCCCTGTTGGGCAAAGAGATTTTTAAAAAATAAAATAGAGTGGTTACAAATTAAAACCAAAACCAATACACGTAAGTCCCATGCCCTGAAAGCATCACTGGTGAATTCTGCCAAACATTCAAAGATTAAATACTTGTCCTCCTCCACTCTTCCAAAAAATTCAAAAGGAGGGACTACTTCCAAATTCATTTTATGAGACCATCACTACCCTGATATCAAAACCAGACAAGGATGCCACGCATCCACACTAAAAATTGCAAGCCGGTGTCGTTGATGAACACTGACACAAAAATCTACAGTAAAATATTAGCAAACCAAATTCAACAACACATCAAAAGGATCAGTTACAACAATCAGGAGGGATTTATTCCAGTGATGCAGGGATGGTTCGACATCCACAAATCAATCAACTCATATACCACATTAACAAAATGAAAAATAAAAATCCTGCTGATCAGGGGGTCTGGGTGGCTCAGTCAATTAAGTGTCTGCCTTTGGCTTGGGTCATGATCTCAGGGTCCTGGGATCGACCCTCCAAGTCAGGCTGCCTGCTCAGTGGGGAGTCTGCTGCTCACTTTTTCTCTGCCCCACCCCCCCCACACGTATGCTCTCACGCTCTATCGTTCAAATCTTTTTAAAAAATCCTGTTGAAAATAAATAAAAATTAAAAATCCTGTTGGTCATCTCAATAGATGTAGAAAAAGCACTTGACAAAATTCAACTGATAAAAATTCTCAACCGAGTGGGTAGAGGGAATTTGCCTAAACATAATGATGGTGGTTGTCTATGACAGGCCTACAGCCAACATTACACTCAGTGGTGAAAAGCTGGAAGCTTTTCTTCTGAGATCAGGAGCAAGACAAGGATGCCTAGTCTGGCCACTTTTATTCAGTGTATATTAAAAGTCCAGCCCACAGCAATTAGGCAAGAAAAAGAAAAATTTTCTTTTTCTAATTCCAATTAAAAAGAAAGAATTAGAAGTTAGAATTAGAATAAAACTGTCATTATTTGCAAATGACATACTATATATAGACAACCCAAAAGACCACCCCAAAACTGTTAGAACTAATAAATGAGTGAAGTAGCAGGATACAAAATCAAAATACAGAAATCTGTGGTGTTTCTATACATTAATAACAAATTATCAGACTGAAAAATTAAGAAAGCAATTCCATTTACAATTGTATCAAAAAGAATACCATACCTTGGAATAAATTTAACCAAGGAGGTAGAAGATCTGTACTCTGGAAACTGTAAGACACTGATGAACAAAACTGAGAAAGAGACAAATAAATGGAAAGCCTTCCTGTGTTCCTGGATTGGAAGAATTAATATTGTTGAAATGTGCATACCACCAAAATAATGTACAAATTCAGGGTAATCCCTATCAAAATTCCAGTGGCATTTTTCACAGAACTAAAACAAATAATGTTAAAATCTGTACAGAATCACAAAGGCCCTGAATAGCCAGGGCAATCTTGAGTAAAAAGAACAAAGCTGGAGGTATCCAGCTCCCTGATTTCAAACTAAACTATAAAGTTATATTAAAACCATATAATATTCAGGTAAAAACACAGGACAATGGAACAAAATTGAGAGCCCATATTTAAACCCATGCTTGTATGGACAGGAAATTTATGACAAAGCAGCCAAGAACATAAAATGGAGGAAAGACTGTCCCTTCAATAAATGATGTTGGGAAAACTAGACAGTGGTGCACAAAAGCCAAATCAAAATGGATTAAAGACTTGAATGTAAGACTTGAAACCATAAAATTTCTAGAAGAAAACGCAAGTGGTGAGCTCCCCAGCCTTGCTCTAAGCAATGTTTTTTTGGATCTGTCTCTAAAAGGAAGGAAACAAAAGCACACATAAACAGATGGGGTTACATCAAATAGTAAAGCTTCTGCGTGGCAGAAGAGGTCATCAGAACAAAAAAGCCAGGGGCGCTTGAGTGGCTCATTCGGATAAGCATCTGACTCTTGGTTTCAGCTCAGGTCGAGATCTCAGGGTTGTGAGATCAAGGCCCGTGTCAGGCTCCATGCTGGGTGTGGAGCCTGCTTAGGTTCTCTCTCCTCCTCTCTCTCTCCACCTCCCTAAAAAAAAAAAAAAAAAAAAAAAAAAAAAGGGAAAGGCAGCCTACTGAATGGGAGAAGATTTTTGCAAAGCCTAATTGGATAAGGGGTGAATATCAAAATATGTGAAGAACTCCTACAACTCAACAGCAACAAAAAATCAGGCAACCTGATTTAAAAAAAAAGGGGGGGCCCGAGGATCTGAGTAGACCTATTTACAAAGAAAACATATGGGTGGTGAAGTGGCCCATGAGAAGATGTTTAGCATCATTAGTAATAGGGGATGCAAATCAGAAGGAAATAAGGTCTAACCTCACCCCAGTCGGAAAGACGACAAGCACCGGAGAAGGCTATGAAGATAAGGGAGTCGCTGTGCACTGTTTGTGGGGAAATAAATTGGCACAGTCACTCTGGAAAGCAGTACGGAGATTCTTCAGAAAGTTAAGAATAGAACTACCATATGATCCAGCTCTCCCACTTGTGCGGAGTTATCCGAAGAATGGGAAAACATTGATTCAAAAAGATATGCACGCCCTTCTGTTTGTAGCGGTGTGCCATGGTGCAGCTGAATTCCCATCAGTAGATGGATAAAGAAGGTGTGTGTGTGCGTGTGCATGTGCACACACACACACACTACACACACACACGCACACTACCTGGCCATGAAAAGGAATGAAATCCCGCCATTTGCAACAACCTGGATGGACCTTGAAGGTAGTAGCTAAGTGAAGTAAGTCAGGTGGGCAAAGACAGTTCCACTCCTGTGGAATCCAAAACAAAACAAAAGCAAACTTACAGATACAAACAGATCCGTTGTTACCGGGGAGGTGGGGGGGGGGTGGGCAGCTGGGTGAAGGGGGTCAAATACCTGGTGATAGATGGTAACTAGACTTCTGGGGGTGATCCTTCCGTAGTGCAGACAGATGGAGAGTTGTAATGGTTTCTACCCGAGACATACAGTGTTATATACCAGTTTTACCTGTTTAAAAAATCTATTAGACTTGCAGGTCCTAGGCATGGGGAGCGTGCCACAGGGGGGCTTATTAGGGTTTTCTTTATTGTGGTTTTTGCGGGAAAGAGAGGACAGAGTAAACAGTTCAGGCTTGGCCAGTTTGAATAATTCTGGTAGGCTTTGGGTGAGAGGCGTGGACATCCCCCTGGTCCTGGCATGACTGAGGCAGAGGAATATACAAAATACGTATACAGTAGCAGCTATCGCTGTAGCTCCTGGGGCCCCGGGCTTTAGGCCCTGAGTGTGAGCCCACTCTTACACGTTCTTGTGTATTTCCAAACCGAAAGAAGGGGGGAAGTCGAGAAGATGCTGCAGGAGACCCTGTACTGTTGTACGTGTCAGTTTCTTGGAGTGCTGGCTCGGACTGAAACCCTTTCTCAGCTCCGGTGGGTTCTGGGTCCCATCACCAGTCATCATTCATCCCAGGAAGTCACCTGTGAGAGTTGCCTCCTTTTGTTAAGCCCTCAGGACCCTGTAGAGCTGAAAGAGGGAGAAGAAATGCTTGTCTCCGGGGATCAGGACGCCTCCTGCTCTCAGGGGCCAAGACTGTCGTGCTTCTGTCAACAGCTAAAGGTTTCTTCTTGTTCCTTGAAATACAGTTGAAATATGACATTGTATGACTCTCATGGGCACAACATAATGATTTAATATGTGTGTATGTTGTGAAATGATCACAGCAAGTCTAGTTAATATCTATGCACACATAGTTACGAAAAAGTTTTTTTTTTTTGTAAGACCATTTCAGAGCGACTCTCTTAGCAACTTTGAAATATGCAACACAGGATCATAAAAGTCTGGTGTCGCTGCTTTACGTTCATCCCAGGACTTACTGATGGTATAACTGTACCTTTTGACTCCCTTCACCTTTTCCTCCCCCAACCCCGTCACCCCCCAGTCTGTTCTCTGTATCTGTAAGTTCATGGTTTTGGGGGGGTTTTGGTTTTTGTCTTCCACCTGTGAATGAGCTGGGCAGGTGTCTTTGAGGGAATTTTAATGGCACTTTATCCCCTAGACCCTATAAATGCTATAGAGCTCTCAGTGGAGAAGAAGAGGGGAACCCAGCATTTTTCCTTATAAGAATATGTAAGCTTTAAGGGATTTTTGAAAAATGAATCTGCCCGTGCTCACCGTGGTTTCACAGCCGCTTTGCTGCTCTCATTCTTCCACGGGGTCTGACTCTCACTTGGCTTCCAGTAGCCATGGTGGTTATTTGTGTCGACCCGCAGACAAGGCCAGCTTGGTCAAAGCTGCGGGAGGGTCTGTGTAGCACAGCGCGTTGTTGAGTAGACAGGTAAGCGTGACTTCTATTCGAGGTAAGTCACCAGTGTAAAAAGTGGACTGTATTTTGGATATCCACAGCATGGACCTGGTTCAGAGCAATGATTTTTTAAAGGCTTGAGTCCAATATAAAGCCAATGAAACATCTCCTGAGGGATGGAGGATGGAGAAAGGCAAAGATAGGGTAGGCTGTTTAAAGTTTTAGATAAAGATGTTTAAATTGTGGTAGGTTGCAGTGTCCCTTTGCTGATGTCCCCCAGATAGTGGAGGAAATGCCATGGCAGAGACTCCCTGTGGGGTCTGGTCAGCTAACGCGTGTGGAGGAGGAACGTCTGTCTGGTCCTGTGTTTTCAGGACTTTGTCGCAAAAATGCCCCAGGGAAGTGTACTGGTTATGGTGGCTTTAGCCTCTTTTTTTTTTTTTTTTTTTTTTTTTTTAAGATTTTACTTATTCATTTGAGAAAGAGAGAGAGCACAAGCAGGGGGAGGCACAGAGGGAGAAGCAGGCTCCCCACTGAGCAAAGAGCCTGATACGGGGCTCGATCCCAGGACCCTGGGATAATGACCCAAGCCGAAGGCAGAGGCTTAACCGACTGAGCACCCCAGGGGCTTCTGGCTTTAGCCCCTTCCCAGCTTCTTGCAGAACACCCCTGACCCCGTCTGTAGCATCCCAGCCCCCTCTCCGACAGGGAGCGCCCTCCGTGGTTTTGCACGTAGCAGTGCAGCACGGACACGCGGGCCATCTCCTGCCTCCTCGCAGTGACGCCCAGGATCCTGAGAGCCATGGCAGAGCGCCAGTCAGAATTCACGACTTTCAAGCGGATCCGCATTGCCACGGGGACCTGGAACGTGAACGGAGGCAAGCAGTTCCGGAGCAACCTCCTGGGCACGGCCGAGCTGGCCGACTGGCTGCTTGACTCCCCCAGGCTCGCCAGCCTCACAGGCTCCCAGGGTGAGCACAGCGGCCTTGACCGTCCCATGAAGAGTCCGGGGGGCCCTTGGCTTGACCTTTCCCTGCAGCCCGTGACTCCCGCGATTTGTAGTGGGTGTTCTCACCCAGAACGTTCAGGAAGGTCTCGGGGCTTCCAGAACACATCTGGAAAATCGTGGGACACTTTGTCTCTTCCGAACGTGTGGCAGGGTGGTCGGGGTGGGGAGTCTCCTGGAAGGTAACACGGAATGGCCTCAGAACAAGGGTTTGAAGCAGGAATGCTCTTCTGCGGGCAGCATGTCTGTGGGGCCGCTGTTTCCAGCTCCCTTGGATCCTGCAAGAGAGCCCTGATCCGCCTCTTGGCTGTACCCGTTCTCAGCAGCGGCTCCGAGCCTTGCCCAGAGCCCATCCCTCACTGTCCCGGGCAGTCCGTACCCCCACTTCTGCTGCCTTGTGGCACATGGTGGCTTGAGTCCACGGCCCAGGGTTCCTGGGGTTCCTGTGGTGGCAGCGACCATTCATGGTGTCCCCAGGGCAAGCCCTATATGTGCAGAGAACGTGAGAGCAGCCCCAGTTGAAGGAGCTTCCCTCCCCTTTTGCGGGTCTCCCTTTTTGCCATGCTGGGAGTCATGGCCTGGCTTGAGGGCTCAGGGCCTGAGTGGCAGAAGGTGGGGAGGCACTGGAGAGATGTGGCCAGTGGCTGGGGGGGGGATTCTATTAACCCCTCCGCTTCCCTGTTAAAGGGGACATGGAGAGGAGGGGTGCGCAACGCCTCAGCTTGCTGTGCTCCCCATAAAACACATTTCCACAGCAGACCTCCGCGGTCCCCAGCTGGACAGGGTTTCCCCTCCTCCAACCACCAGGAATGGCAGTCCCCATGGGCCAGGACCCCCTCAGTCCACCATGAACCACGCAAGGCCCGGCCTCACACCGTGCAGAGTATGGAGGGACACAGGCAAGCGTGGCACCTGCCTTTGGGTCCGATGCCTATGTTGGTGGCTGGGAAGGAAGAGAGACCCGCAGGGTGGGGTGGGGACTTCACACATGTCCTCTGGTGGATACTTCATGATGTCCTTGGGAGATGGCAGCTCCTGTCCCTTCTGAAGACAAAGGAATAGGTTTAGAGAGGTCACTGATGTGCCCCAGGATGGAGACCGGGAAAGGCGGTGGGCACCAGGGATGTGAGGGAAGGTGGGGATCAGCACGGAGCTTCACGGAGCCTTCTGGACAAGTGCACCCAGGCAGCGGCACACCCGGGCTCAAATGGGGCACATGGGACACCCCACGAGTCCACAAACGCAGGCCTTGTGCTGTCTGATTTCCCTCAACTCCCGCCTTTCCCCCAGATGAGGACAGCCCGGCTGACATATTTGCCGTGGGGTTTGAAGAGATGGTGGAACTGAGCGCAGGGAATATCGTCAATGCCAGGTGAGCAGGCACGGGGGTGCAGGGTCACACCCGCAAACTCACCCGAGGTTTCCCGAGCCAGGTGCCAGGCCGGGAGTGGGACACTGGGTCCATCCTGCTTCTGCCTCTACTGCCCTGTGGCCCTCGGTGTGTGGATTCTCCTGATCACACTCCTGCCCCGCCCACACACACTCAGATGTGCAGCTCCCGTTCCTCTTTCTTCACAAATTAAGGAAATCCAAGGAAGGGCAGGTTACAGCTGTAGGTGCTTGGCGGTGTGCGGAGGCTGAGTCACGCTGTGAGCTGGCGGGTGCACACCTGGAGGGCGTGGCTGACGGCCGGGCTGGGGGGTGGGTGTTGACTCACCTTTCCTGGGGAAGGTGAGAAGCGGAAGTGCAGGGAGAAGGTGCATCTCTTCTCAACACCAGACACAAAGGAAAGGAAACCGCTGCATTGACGTTTTGTATAGGGTCAACTGGACTTTTTCTTTCTTGTTTAATCTCAAGAAACTTTCTGAACAAATAACACCTGATCTCAGCAGCTCTTAGGAGCAAGGTGCTGTGATGGGTTTTAGTGGCAGGGTGGGGTGTGGTATGAGCAATGATGTGTACAACACAGCCAGAAATACGTGGACAGCCCGCTGCGGAGATGAAAGCATGGCACTAACACGGGAGAGGGGACAGCGTGACAGCAGTCCTATGAAAAGAATAGGAGTTGAAGGAGTGTGTCAGTGGGAGAGCCCATCTCCAGCAGAACGTGAGCGTCATTTCTTTCTCGTCTTTTCCAGTACCACCAACAGGAAGATGTGGGGTGAGCAGCTCCAGAAAGCCATCTCACGCTCTCATAGGTACATTCTCTTGACTTCGGCACAGCTGGTGGGCGTCTGTCTGTATATCTTTGTACGTCCATACCATGTCCCATTCATCAGGTAAGAACATTCGATTTATGAACATCTGGGGGACTCGGGGTTGTTTGTCCTGGTGTTTTGTTCAGACTTCCTCTCCCTCCTCCCCTCCTGCAACAGGAATCAGGACTCGCCATTATTCTAGATAAATGTAGCAGCCCCCCGAGGAAAAAGCAGGCTGAATAGAATATTGTCTGGAGATTAAAATGCCACAGTGGGAACCTTGCGGGCCAGGAAGCTGAACTCTTTCAGAAGGAGTGATTGTTATCCTCCCAGGCTCAGTTTTGTGCAAGGAAAGGGATTCCTTGTTGAAGTTTTAGGCAGGAAACCTCTGACCAAGAGCTGAGTAACTCGGTGGGAAATGCCAATGCTTTTGTCTCTTTTTAAAAGCGTTCTAAATAAGACGTGTGGGCAGAACGCCTCGACCGCTGTCACCCCACTGTAACGCCGCTCAAGTGGCTGCTGTGTGTGTGTGTGTCAGAAAGGGAGCCCTCAGCAAATGGGTGCTCTCTTAGGAAAGAGTGTGCGCGCGTGTATGCGTGTGTGTATGTGTGTGTGTGTACAGGTGTCTGTGTGCATGCGTGTTTTAAGGTTTGGGAAGAATTCACCTTTTCCTTCAATGACTCATAACCTCCTACTGCTACCTTCTCACTCATGTCCATAGAGTTTCCTCCCATGCCCAGCTAAACTCACTGCCCATGCCAGGCTAGACCTTGCCCCTCCTGGTTAAACACCTCTGAATATTTAGAGGACCAGAGGCATGCCAGGGGTCGTGCTGGGAGAACGGGACTATGCTCCCCGTTCACAGTCCTCATCTATGACTTTGGGAAATTCCTTAAGTCCTTGTCCCCCCAACTGTTTGTTCCGGCATTTGGGCGGTGTCCAAAGTGCATGAGTGGAAGTCGGCAAAGGTCAGGGTCAGGGTAAAGGTTAGAGTTGAACCGTGAGCGAGGGAGCGATGCTCGGGAGCTCCAGATTTCCCCGCAGCCGCCTGGGACCCAGCCTCTCCTCCAGTCTTAGCTGGCTTAGCTCGTAGGCTTCTGGGCCGGTTACCCCCTCGCCTCATCTGCCCACTGATAGTCCCAGGGAGCAAGTGTCAGCCTCCGAGTGCCCGGGCTCCGTCCTGTAGACCCGTGCACTCACACATGCGCGTTGTCACCTGGTATCACATGTGAGCAGGTGTCTGCGAGGAGGCCGCCTAGGCACTAGGCAGCCCAGCACCAGTCACTAGATGTTTCCTGTTTCTTAATGCAGGAAAGCCGTGACAGGTGGGCAGGGGACGGGGCCGTCCGCCCGGCCTCAGGGGGACGGGGACTTGGGAGGACTTGGGTGCGCAAAGCAGGGCTAGGGTTGGAAGCTTCCCAGGTGCCTTTGTGAGCGCGGGGCCCTTGAGAGCTGGGATAGTGGAGAGGGTCCTCTGGGCTGCCACGGGGAGAGGAGAGAGGTCCGGAGTCGCCGGGTGGCCTGGCCGCCCAGAAGGCCATCCAACAGCCCAGCCCCCCGCTGCCACAAGCTCGTTCGCACTCTTCCTTTTTAGCTGCTAAGGAGCTGCTGCGTGTGCACCTTGTGTGTTGCAGGGATGTGGCCATCGACACAGTGAAGACAGGCATGGGGGGAAAGGCCGGGAACAAAGGGGCCGTGGGCATCCGCTTCCAGTTCCACAGCACCAGCTTCTGCTTCGTGTGCAGCCACCTGACGGCCGGGCAGTCCCAGGTGAAGGAGAGGAACGAAGACTACAGGGAGATCACCCAGAAGCTGAGTTTCCCAATGGTGAGAGCACACGGCGGCCGGGGATGTGACCCGGCGCGCGCTCGCTGCCTACTTGCGGCGGCCACACACGTTTCCGGAGCTGCTGGTAGAGGGCACCCTGGGGTGGGGGCCGGGAAGCGACTCTAGGAGGGTCCCTGCCCCCCCCCACCAGAGGGCTCAGCTCCAGGGGTGGGGATGTGACCTGGGATGGGACAGTAGAGCTAAGCCCCGGGGATGTCCCTGGAGTATTCTCTATTATATGTTTCCGGAATGTCCTTATGCACCCCACATTTCTCTTGGCATTTTTGTGAGTTTTCTGGTTTTCTTGTTCACTGTCCATGCTTTGTCCAAGTTAGTGAAGAACATCTGAATCCAAACAGTAGGAGACTTGTTTTTCTTAAGAGTCATGGTCTTCAGACCTACCTACTGTTGCAGCTCAGATAAGAACGCCCGTTTTTGTGAAATCTGTGTGTTCGTGACCGAGGGGTCTGGATCCTCCCACCTGGGCGCCAGGTCGCAGACAGCCTGCGCCATGCTGCCCTCTAGCGGTGGCAGGCGCTTCCATCCCAAAGCCAGGGCATCTCTCCGTACTGGGATTGTTCCCCAGCCTGCAAGGAGACGATTGCCTGCACACCTTCAGCCTGGTGCAAACCGCCGTCTCCCTGCACTGAGCGGAGGCCAGCTCTTTCCATCACATGTTCTGCCGGTGTCTGTGACTCAGCTGGCTGGGCCCTGGAGCTCCTCCCCGTGAGGCCAGATAGACCGGTAAACCTGACGTCCTGTGTACTGGGCTACACGAGTACTCGAGGCAGAACGCCTCATTTTCACTAATAAGTGCTGTAATCTCTGCCGTGGTTTTTATTTCTTGGATTAAAGAAGAAACACGTAGAGTTGGGAAATTTACGACGTGAAGTCTTCCAGACCACAGAAGACGCGATGCATGTTTTCTCTGTGTTTTCCTTTAGTTTAAAAAAAAAAAAAAAAAAGTCCAACCTTTCTCACTTAAAGTGCTATTTTGAACTTTGGACACATGCAAAATATTCAAAGGGTTTAAAATACAGCCTTTTTTTTTTTTTTTTTCAATAGAAATACTGAGGATACCTGTATAAGTTAATACTTTACACCTGAGCTGCCCAGCAGACTAGCCACAAGCAGGGATTTAAATAAAATGAAAAGTTCCTTGGTTACACGGGCCACGTTTCCTGATGACCACTTGGTGGCTGCTTGTGGCCGCTTGAGGCTGGTGGCGCCTGTTTTGGACGGCGTGGATGGAGAACATTTCCATCACTGCGGAATGTTCTGTCGGGCAAGCAGTGCTCTACACACTTATTGATTTGGTTGTGATCATGTTAATCTTTTGTCCAGATTAGACTGGAAATGCCACATGAGGATAGTAGAAACAGATTTTGGAGTTAGGCAGATCTGAGTCCAAAGTTGCCTTTATTACACATTGGTGTAACTGCAGCAGGTTCTTTTGAACTTTTTATTTTTATCTAAAGGAGAACCAACAGTGCGTGCCTCACAGGGCTGCTGTGAGGGCAGTGTACCCCCAGAACAGAGCCCGGCACAGGTAGATGGGCGATAGAGGTGGTGTGTTGTGGCTTCTGTTGTTGGCACTGTGATTCATGGCGGGGAAGGAAGGGCGAGGGTCCCATGCTCTCCAGAGCTGTGCTGGGGACCACAGGCTCAGGGTGAGCCAGACAGGGCAGGGGGAGGGAAGAATGGGATAGAGAGTCACAGGAGGAAAATGGATAAAATCCGTGACATTTTACGAAGTTGCACATTCTGGACATTTTGATGTTTGTAAGCCTGAGCCGCATAACACTGTATGTTTGGACAACTTGCCTTTGGATGTAGACGTAAGGAAACAGGAACACAGCCTGATCTCAAAGCTGGGGCCGGCGCAGTGAAGATGGGCAGTCGTGGTTCCCCATTAGAGATGAACTTTCCCCAAACCACTTAAAAACACCGTAATTTAAAATGAAGATAGCCACGAAAAGCTCCCCAGCAGGTGTACAGGATTAAGGAGAGATGAGGTACTCTCTGCGAAGTCTTTCGTTAAGTAGCTTTTTAGGGAAAAAGACATCTTTATCATCTGCCTGGTGAGCTTTCCTCCCGCTCTCCCACCTCCTTTGCAAGATGGGCCAGAATGACTGTGATTTTCTTGAAACAGGGAAGAAACATTTTTTCTCACGATTATGTGTTTTGGTGTGGCGATTTCAACTACCGCATCGACCTCACTTATGAGGAAGTCTTCTATTTTGTCAAACGCCAAGACTGGAAGAAACTTCTGGAATTTGATCAGCTGCAACTACAGAAATCAAGTGGGAAAGTAAGTTGGACTCTTAAGTCTATAGCTGCACTCCGTTGGAGTCAGAGCTCCTGGGGGTGAGGGGCTCACGTCTGCAATGAGCACAGTGTTGTGAGGCTGCTGAACACCGGTGTGGGCAAGCCCACCCCACCCCGTGTCCAGGCCAGCCTCATAGGGCTGGCTGGCTGTCCTTACATATACTTAGCCATCAAGTGACACTCCAGTACTCTGTTTTCGTGAGATCTCTGTTTCTCATTGGCAAGCACACTAACATGTTAGAACAATACCTGATATACTTTATACACCAATTTGGGTGGATAATCCTCAGGGCCATCCTACAAATTCGGTATTGTACCCATTTTATAGACAAGAAGACTGAGGCCCAGGTCCAGTGAGCCCAAGGTCACACAGTACACAGAGCCATGATGCCGCCCACAGCTGTCAAGCTACAGAGCTCACGTTTATCCCCTACATGACCCATGTGCAGTTTCTTTTTTAAAGATTTATTGATTTATTGTAGAGAGATGGAACATGAGTGGGGGGAGGGGCAGAAGGAGGGAATCTCAAGCAGACTTCCCACCGAGTGTGGAGCCTGACACGGGGCTTGATCTCATGACCCTGAGATTATGACCTGAGCAGAAATCAGGAGTCAGATGCTCAACCGAGTGAGCCACCATGTGCTATTTTTTAGTGACGTGATAGGAAAGATTCAAGTGTGGATCTGCTCTCAGTTCCTCCAGGTCACCCTGGCCAGCCTCCGGGTGACCTAGAACATCTTCTCCAGCTAATGCTATTGCTCGTTTGGGTGCCTGTTAGCTTTGTAGCTGGTGGGGCTGAGATGACGGGAGCACAGCTGCACTCTGTTTACCTTTTGAAAATAAAGCAGCCGGTCCCGTGTCCAGAGGCGTTGAGGTCTCCCCTACAGCAAGAGTCAGACATTCTTTGCGGTTCCCTGTTCACTCCCCGCTCAGCCTGCCGCGGACATGGATTGCCGAGGGGTGGCCAGACGGAGAGGAACCACACCTTCCCTGTCTAGAGCAGGTTTTTCTTTCTTCCTTCTACCGGTGCTGTCCACACCCTCCCGCAGGTGCCCAGAGAGAAGTAGTGAGGTCTTTCCAGGGTCTTCTCACAGTGCTGGGGCTAGATCTAGAGCCAAACAGAAACAGAATTCAGTTTCAGGTCTGGGCTTCCGTTTGCGCAACTCATTGAGTTAGCGAATGTCAATGAAGGCCTTGTCCGGTCGGGCCTGGCATTGCGCTCGCTCTGACGCTGAGCAGATGGACAGCTGGGATTCTTGCCTCGCACCTTCCCCTGTCTCCTGGGCACTGACGTGGACGGTGGTACCTCGGGTACCCAAGCTGGGTGGGAGATCCCGGGGTGGTGTGTAAGTCAGCGGGATGAGCAGCCATCCTTCTCTTGCTAACGAAATAGCACACCCGTGTTCAGTTGTAAACATACTTACAACTACAAGGCAGATTCTGTCTTTTTTAGGACTAGAGCACTCCGGAACGTGCTTTTTTATTTTGGGTTTTTGCGTGCGATGTACAGAATCTAGAAGAGCTAAGGTGGTCTTGGTCTTTTCTCCCAATAGATTTTTAAAGACTTTCATGAAGGTGCCATTAATTTTGGACCCACCTACAAGTATGATGTTGGCTCGGCTGCCTACGACACAAGTGACAAGTGCCGCACCCCTGCCTGGACAGACAGGGTCCTGTGGTGGAGGAAGAGGCACTCTTTTGACAGGACAGGTGCGTGAGATGTGCGTCCGTTTGGAGGTGGTTGAGGCTGGGCGCTCGATAGTGCAGAGGGGAAGTTGGTCACATTCATTCAGCGCGGCTTTGCTGTATAAATGACAACTGTCTTGACCCAGAACTATAGGAAACTCATTCCAGTAGGGAGCCCCTAAGCTTTGGGAGTTGTGTTTTGGGGAACCCCCTGGCTCTCCCCATCCCTGCATCATGGCTGTCCCCTTCCCTCTGCCTGACACACACACCCCGCGCCATCTGCGTTCTGTTCTGGGTGGACAGCAAGGAGAGAAGCCTCGGCTCTCCGCCTCCAGCGACTGTCCCTCTTACACACGTGCAAGTCATCCCTCACATTTCATTCAACCAAACGCTGACCTGCTTCAAGCTCCAGCTCTGCGTTGAACATGAGCCAGACGCAGGAAAGGAGCGTTTTCTCTCAATCGGTTGTCAAGGATGTCTTGAATTCCTAGCGACGGCCCACCAGGAAGGGTGGTGGATTAGGGTACCGGGAGGTCAAACAGCTCTGCTTTTCGGGCAAGATGGGCACAGAGATTTCAAAGCCAGGGAATCCCGTCATTCAGATCAGTCTCTGGACGTCTGTGGACGTTGTCCAGGCATTGAGAGGCAGGCATACGGTGATGTCCTTGGCCTTGGCTTTGCCTACATACAGGGCTGTAGACTTCCTGTGTTCCTATAGCCCCTGGGACGGGAACGCCACAGCTACGTCTGCATACCCACTCGGGTTGTCCCCTGGGAAGGACGTAGCAGCACTGGATCATCTACAGACATTCTGTACCCTAGACCCCCTCTCCCCGACCCTGACCTCCCTCCCTCCCCATCCCCGCCCAAGCCAGCTCGGGTTAGAGCAAACGGGTTTGAGACAGGCGTGTCCATGCGGTAGATCCCTGGCGCAAGCTTCCTCTGTCAGCATTCTCATATGTTGATACCGTTTTGTGTTGTGTGTGGGTCTCTTGATTGGAACCTCTGCGAGCAGCTGGAGAACTCAACCTTCTAGAAAACGACGTAGATGCTGACAGCACCGTCACACATTCCTGGTCTCCTGGTGCCCTCAAGTATTACGGCCGAGCCGAGCTCCAAGCGTCTGATCACAGGTACGGTGATCAGACAGGATAGTTTTGGTAGCAGCCATGGGAAGAGCAAATCCCGTTGTCCTGGGCTGCGGAAAGCGGTGTCTGCTGTTCCCTGAAATGAACGGACACGCTGTCCCCCGCAGAATGCGTGTGTGCACACGTGTGAAAGATATCAAAGAACGAAGAAGAGGGTGACCAATAGCTGTGTCCGCACCACCAAGATTTAATCCGTGTTAGTATGGCAATTGCTCACATTATAAATGACCTCAGGGATAAAAATTGCAAAGGTGCAGCCTGTTTTGTCGTTGAAATTCCCATAAATGATGTCACTGCACAACTTGCTTTTTTTTTTTTTTTTGGGGGGGGGGTCACTTAATGTCTTTGAGACACAGTCACATTGATGTTACAGACCTCGCTCATTCCCTTGTAATTGCTGTCCAGTATTCTACTGAATATATCCATGGAATGTACCCATTCACCTGCTAGTAATTTTTTTTTCTGATTTTTTTCTAATATTTTTTTCTAATTTTTAAAAAATTTTTTCTCTAATATTTTATCATTGCAAATGCCAAAGGGTTTTAAGTGTTGGATCTGAGTTCTTTAATGCTCTGAGCTGTCGGTTTGGCCTGCCTGTCTTGCATTATGGACGGAACACAGCAGCTGGATCGGTCAGCTCGACGTGTGCTGGGACCAGCCACGGAGGGTGATTAGTCTCGTGGAGTATCTTGAAAGAGACAGAGGATGGCATCTGAGGGTGTAAATAGGAAGGATTTGCTCTTCCCATGGCTGCTACCAAAACTAGCCTGTCGTTTTCAACTTCTACAAGGAAAGAAATTAGGAGAGATTTGGTGGTGAAGAGCTGGTCAGCCAGTAGGTTGAAATCTTTAGATACTCTAAATTCTTAAGAAACCTGTTGTTACAAATACACACCTAGAAACAAACCTTGGGGAATCTCCGGTTATGGGACTTTCTACAGAGAACTTTAGGTTTGCTAGTTCAGTGAGTGTCTTTAGAAGCAACTCCTTTAACCACTATTCCCTGAAAGACCTTGTATACTAGGCCCTGTTCCTGGCACTGAGGATTGACAGAGAATAAAACAGACAAGACCACATTCCCGGGAAGTTGTCTAGTGAGGACAGACAGTAAACAAAGTGAAAGGAAAAATGGTAATGATAAGACTCAGAAAAAGGGTTGGCGTTCAAGGAAGGCCTTTCAGATAGGATAACCATGGGGGCCAGACCTGGAGGAAGAGAGAGAGTGAGCCATAGCGGTATCAGGGAGAGAGCATTCCAGGGTGAGGAGCGAGGCAGTGAACCTTCAGGGATCTAGAGAATCGAGGGGGAACGGGAAGAGTAGAGGAAGTCCTAAAAGCTGAGGAGCAGCGCAGGCCGTGTGGAAGCCTGTGGGCCCAAGAACGTGGGGTTCGGGTTTCCTCGGGCTGAGGAGTGGCCTCATCTGACGATGTGTTGACAGAGTCAGCCAAAGAGAGTGCAGTGGGTCCAAGGAAGAAGCTGCGCAGTAGGCAAGGGAAGAAACAGTGACAGCCTTGGACCAGGTGGTCATGGGTCCCCATGGCGAGACATGGTTGGGTTCTGGATAGACTTTGAAAGTGGAGTCCACAGAATTGCCTAAGGGTTGGATAGTGTGTCGCACGCATATGTGTGTGTGTGTGTGTGAGAGAGAGAGAGAGAGAGAGAGAGAGAGAGAGAGAGAGAGTGGGAGGATTTGAGGAGGCTCCCAGAGCTGGGCCTGAGCAGCCAGAAGGACGGAGTCGCCTTCGCTCAGCTGGTACGCCAGGAGCTGGTTTGAAGAGCGTCTTCAACATTTGTGGATCTTTCTGATGACAAAAGCAGAGCCCTCAGTTACTGGCCGTTAGGGGAAACATACGGGCGCAAACAAACCCTCCGTAGTTCCTCTGAGACAATGTCTATAATGGCCTGTTAGGTGTCTTCTGCATTTTCCACATGTGTTAGAAGCTTTTACACCAAAATGTTAGCCTGTGTGTGGTGTGTGCCCAGTGCCGACACCTTTTTACACACACACACACACACACACGCACTGAGACCATTAGGATTATATCTTGCAGACTTACCATGTTGCCTTACTGCATTTATTTTATTTTTTTTAAGATTTTTTTTTTTTATTTATTTGACAGAGATCACAAGTAGGCAGAGAGGCAGGCAGAGAGAGAGGAGGAAGGGAAGCAGGCTCCCTGATGCAGGGCTCGATCCCAGGACCCTGGGATCATAACCTAAGCTGAAGGCAGAGGCTTTAACCCACTGAGCCACCCAGGCGCCCCTGCATTTATATTTTTAAGTTAAACGTTTTATGTTGAGGTAATTCTAGACTGGCGGACTATTGTAAGGAATAATACGGGGAGTGCGCATACGCTTTCCCCAGGCCCCACGGTGAGGAGGTCCTGTCACTCTGTAGCAACAAAGTCACTGTCAAGATACAGAACATCTCCTTCACCACAGGGTGCCTCCTGGCGTCTTTCCACAGCCTTCTGCTCCCTAACCCCTGTCCGCCACTGCTCTTTCTCTCCCTTTCCATAATTTCATCATTCTAAGCATAAATGAGATCAAAATGAGGGGGACTGGCTTTTCCCTGCCAGCCTCATCTTCTGCAGATTCGCGCAGTTGTCCTGCTTCTCTGTAGCCCATTTGCATTCCTGCTGGGGGCGCAGCCCGCGGGCACCTGCACCTGCTTCCTCAGCCACCACGCTTCCCATCTGCACGTGCGGCTCGTGGGAAGAGGTTTTCTGCCTCTCACTTAGTGTGTATCCCAGCATCAGATTTTCCCCATCTTCTTTTTTCTTCTAGATACCCCCCCAAAAACCCCAAAACCAAAAATCTAACAACTGCAACATAAATGTGTGAGAAGCACACATTATCATTCACATCTCCTCATTTTTGCCATGTCCCTGGTTTTCAGGGTTACCGCCATACGATCTACTATTGTCTCTTCTGTTTTGTTTCCTCTTAACACTGTACTGTAAATGTCTTCAAGAAGATTACATAATCGGGGCACCCGGGTGGCTCAGATGGTTGGGCATCTGCCTTTGCCTGTGATGATCCCAGGGGCTCTGGGATCAAGTCCCGGGTTGGGCTCCTTGCTCAGCGAGGATCCTGTTTCTCCCTCTGACTGCTTCTCGCTCTGCTTGTGCTCTCTCTCTCTCTCTCTCTCTCTCTCTCAATCTGACAAATAAAAATCTTTTAAAAAAATTATGTAATCTGGGGCGCCTGGGTGGCTCAGTGGGTTAAGCCGCTGCCTTCGGCTCAGGTCATGATCTCAGGGTCCTGGGATCGAGCCCCGCATCGGGCTCTCTGCTCAGCAGGGAGCCTACTTCCTCCTCTCTCTCTGCCTGCTTCTCTGCCTGCTTGTGATCTCTCTCTGTCAAATAAATAAATAAAATCTTTAAAAAAAAAAAATTATGTAATCTTCATAATAGAGGATTTCCTAAATTTTTGCAAAGGGAGTAAACCCACCCCTGTATCACAATGGCAATAAACAATGACTGCATTATTTCTTGCTGATCTATTTTCCTGAGTATGTCAACTTGGCTTCTCTGACATTATTCTTATTGGTTGTATAAAATATTATCATATGGCTGCATCATAACCGTTTCCCTATTATGGGACAGTTAACTGTTTCCCCTCTCCCCTTCAATCAACAGTGCTGTAATGATCATCCTTGCGTACAAATCTTTGTATGCCTCTCTGATCACTTTCTTAGAACAAAGGCCTAGAATTAAAATTAGTAGGTTGAGAGATGAACATTATTGAGATTCTTAATAGCAATTGCCAAATAGCCCTCCAAAAACTTGAACCCCTAGCAAAGGGGGAATTCCCACCTCTCTCCATCCTTGGCAGTACTGAGTAATACCACGTAGAAAAATCTCAGCTAAGAGCCAGTGCTGTTTTCTCCAAATCATCCTTAGGCAAGAATGCCAAGGCAATGCTAAGGTTGGCCAAAGATAGAGTCGGAAAGCCTAGAACAGGACAGCCAGGCTCCGTGCCGGGCTGGGGCCACACCCACGGGCCGTGGATGTTCACTCTTGACAGCGGATCTCTGGGGATTGGGCCCTCCTCGGCCCCGTCACCCATCACCTGTCTTCCCTCCCTGTCTAACGCAGACCCGTGCTGGCAATCGTGGAGGTGGAAGTTCAAGAAGTTGATGTGGGTGCTCGGGAGATGGTGTTCCGGGAAGTGTCCTCTTTCCAGGGCCCCCTGGATGCCACCGTCATAGTCAACCTTCAGTCACCGACCTTAGAGGAGAAAAACGAGTTTCCTGAAGATGTGCGCACAGAGCTCATGCAGACCCTGGGCAATTATGGGACGATCGTTCTTGTCAGGTACTCGCGCCTGGCTGGGATGGGTCCCGTGTGCCTCTTAGGTATATCACCAGCCAGAGCCACGAGAGCTGCCGATCGTTCTTGGCATTGACTTGGCGCATCTCATTTATTCCAGGATCAACCAAGGGCAGATGCTGGTGACTTTTGCAGACAGTCACTCAGCTCTCAGCGTCCTGGATGTGGATGGTATGAAGGTGAGTCATGCTCGGTCCCCCATGGCACGGGGGCTGCTTAACTCCCCAGAGTTTTCTTGGGCACCACATGAGGGCAGGAGCTAACTAGCACCCTTCCTTCTGGTGTCTGTTCCTGGTCTCCTCGTTGAGGTCTCTAATGTCTAACCCTAGCCACTTGCAGAATCTGGAAGGAAGAGCAAATGTTAGAGGGTAGATCCCGCTGAAATCACTGGGTCTGTCCCGGCTCACACTTGCACGTGGGAGGGCGTTTGCTATTCTTCTCATTAGATGGTGTATTTTGGAATCTGCAGTGTACAGGTAGTTTCCATTTTGATAATATCCTGGTTTTACGTTCACATGGGATGAAAAGCTGGAGATGATGATTCAACTTTCAGTTAGACCAAATGTGAGCTCTGCTGATCTTGCCTGAGGTCTAGGTCCTCAACTTTTCTTGGCAAAGCAGGAAGATTGGCCTACTCCTGATGCATGAGTTTGAGCCGGATGCCTTTTGAGAGCAAAGAAGGTGGTTCTAAGGTCTGTACTCCCTTCTCAGATGGCCACTCTGTCCTCGCAGGTGAAAGGCAGAGCCGTGAAGATCAGACCAAAGACCAAGGACTGGCTGAAAGGTTTGCAAGAGGAGATCACCCGAAAACGGGATAGCATGGCCTCCATGTCTCCCACTGCCAATTCCTGTTTGCTGGAGGAAAACTTCGACTTCACAACTCTGGACTATGAGTCAGAGGGTGAGTAGCTCTGCAAGGACCTCTGGGTCATTGTGGCGAGGCCAGCAGGCAAGAAATTCCCACAACCAGCGTGAGATTTTCAAGACCCCTTCTCACACCTAAAGGTGACAGAGGGTCCTTGGGGCACACGCACTGTATTCCACGAGCGAAGCTGGGCGCTGTGCACGTCTGGGGGAGATGCCTGAAGCGGTCAGTAAGCCCTCGAGCCATCTGAAATGACAGTGAGGACAGTGGCTTTGAGGCTGTCTGGGCTGTGGGCTCACTCCGTGTCTCAGGCCTGAGTGGAACTGGGTTTCTGTACCAGCTGACACGTGGCTGCCCCTGGGCTGCCGGAAGCTGGGCCGCAGGCCTCCTGACGCCGAGCAGCAAGCCCAGATGGTGACAGACCCCGTGCCATTTGCCCTCATTGTGCGCTGTGACATTTCCTCCCCAAGGGGATATCCTCGAAGATGACGAAGACTATTTGGCGGATGAGCTAAGTCAGCCTGTGGTCTCGGACGGGGAGATGGGCGGGGACAGCCTCTCTGAAGCCCCCAGCCCCACAGCCGCGGTGCCCGCCGGCAAGTCACCTGCGCTCAACAAAAAGAAGCCGCACCCGACCTACCAAGGTAGCTCGGCCCCTCCCTTTGCTAAAGAGCCGCGGGCGTCGAATCCGCTCTCTCTCTCAGGGCCAGGGCTTTGCACGAGGCCACAATTATGTGCTCACAGCCCACACCAGGGCTGAAACCACAAGTCCTAGCAAGTGGGTGGAAACCGGGCTCTGGGCCCGTGTCCAGCTACCACCACATTGACTTTCTCCAGTGCTTTTTATTTACTTTTTTTTTTTTTTTTTAACTGCTGGTACCGCTATAGTACACCAGACCCATGGTAATTCCTGTTTCCTCTGGATGTTTAAATGGCCACAGCCCTGAACTAGCTTTACATTTGTAATTCCGTTTTTCCTCCCCACGATGTTTGTTTCAATCCCATAAGAGACATAATTTTTTTTTATTGAAATATAATTGACATGCCACATTATATTGGTTTCAGGTGTACAACTTAGTGAACCAGTAATTCTGTACATTACACTGTGTGCGGTTACCATCTGTCCCCATATAATATTAAAACAGTGTTACTGACTGTATTCCCTACGCTATACTTTTCACCCCAATAACTGACTTATTTTAAATTGGAAGTTTGTGTCTCTTAATCCCCTTCACCTACCCGCATCTCACCCCCTAGTGCACCACCAGTCTTCTGTAGGTATGAGTCTCTTTCTGGGTTTGGGTTTTGTTTTTGTTTTTGTTCTTGGCTGTTGTTTTATTTTTTTAGATTCCACATGTAAGTGAAATCATGCTTGTCTTTCTACATCTGATGTATTTCACTTTACCACACCCTCTGGTGTCCAGCATCTATGTCCTGAGAGCTGGGGTCTTGTTACATTCCTGTAACATGTTATTACACAGTAATATACATCAGCATCATTCTATCATTTGAGACTTAAGCAAAGAGGGACGGAAAGTCCCGCAGATTAAACTGCAAAGCCCTAGGTTACATAGTGTAACGGCCCTTTGGAATAAGTTGTAAAGCCCGCTGGCCTTTCCCGGGCTGGAAAGGAGGGCTTTCTGTGCTCCAGCCCCAGGCTCTGCCACGGCCACGAGAGCCTTCCCGCTGCTGCTCACGGTGCTTCCCCCATTGGAGGGAAGCTCTGTCTAGTAGGTTCGGAAAGTTGCCATGAGCTGCAGCTGAGACTACAGAATAGGCTGAAAGTGAACTGAGAGGCTTCCCAGGGAAGGTAATTTGCCAGGAGAGGCGCAGACACCCCAAGTCCCTTTGTGCCATGGTCCCAAAGGTGGTTAGGAGCCTGGCTGCACTGAGCCATAGGGACCTCTTAAAGGTACACTTGCAGAGCCCCGTCATGGAGATGTGGGTTTGGCGGGGGTGGGGCTGGGGCCCTGGAAATCTGGTATCTCATGAAGCTCCCCAGGTGACTGAGATGCATGGCTGGGTTTGGGGACGGCCGCCCAACCCAGGTGATTCCGTGCCCTGCACATCCAGAGGGCTCCTGCCCGGATAGAAGGGGCCGAAGGGAATGCCCTTCAGACAGCCGGAGGTCCTTTTCTGCAGGAGTGGCCATCGTTCAGGAAGCTCCTTGAGGGGAAGGCACATATGGGCACCAAGGCCTCTTGGAATGAAAAATTAGGAGAGCACGGGACTATGTGGGTGAACTTGCCACCTGGCAGATGTGAAGGCATGTCCTCGACGCTTCCCATTAGAAGGAGAAGCCCTGCCTCTTCCCAGCTCCAACCTCAGAAATACATGGGTTTGAGCTGATGGAAATGTGAGGGGTGGAGTGTCAGAGTGAAAATAAAATGCATCGGGCTACATTGTAGTGTGGGAGAGGAGACCTGCCGTGTTCCTGAACTTACGTGTCATAAATGTATAATAAAAATCAGAGCAGTCACCTCCTCACGCGCCTCCTAGCCTCAGAAGGTATTTGCAGGACAGGCAGGAGGTCGATCACCTGCGCAGTAGCTGGCAATGGGTGACGGTACTTGGGGCTTGACGGGTGAGCAGGGACCCCCCCCCATTCCAGGAGCTTGCCACGGGATGGCAGGGGCAGAGGCAGAGACTGTTCTCAGCCTCCAAAGCAGCTGTCCTGTGTTAGAGTGAGGAATTCAAACCGAGGGGCTCTGGTCTTCAACTGTCTCCTCTTCTCCGTGTGGTCTCCTTCGTTATTTCAGAAGGAAATAACCCTAACCCTACGCTTGGACACATCTCCATGTCTCTCATGTCTGGACAGAAAGCCTTGTCTACAGCTCATCTCCTGTTCCAAGCAGGCACTGGGTGCCGCCCCGCCCTCCCATGTCGGCAGAGGCAGAGAGGAGGGACCCTGCTCTGCGGGAGGGAGGGGGACCCTCCTGCACAGTCGGTTCCGCGCAGACACAGGTCTGAGCCCTGCCTCACGCCTCACTCGCGTTCCGCCGTGTCCTCCAGATGACGCTGAGCTTGTGGCAGTAAAGCAGGAGCTGGAAGCAGGTGGAGATTTCCGGCACCGTTCTCCAAGCAGGTCTCTGTCGGTGCCCACTCGGCCTCGGCCGCCTCACCCACCGCAGAGACCGCCCCCTCCAAGTAAGACTCTGTTGCTTTCGGCTTGCCACCGTGCCTGCTGGGAATAACCACCCCTCTTCCGCTACTCAGCACCTGCCTCTGAGTCGCTGCTGCCTCGCCCGGGTCCCCAGCATCTTCTCCTCCTCAGGCTCCTTTCTGGGTTGATCCCAGAAATAGTTGTGTTTCTCACGGCGAACTATGTGGTTCTTTTTACCCAGCTGTTGGCCTTCCCATAGCCGTGGTTTGCTCTGGGCTTTCTGTTGGAGATGGTAGAGAATGGAAAATTGAGGGGGGGCCCAGCAAGCAAAGACCTTCTAGCACCTTCCTCTGCAGCCCCACAGAAGTAGCCTTCTGTCTGCACCTGCTGTCCCCTCCCATTTCCCAGGGCTCCAGTGAACCCTTATATCCGACACCCCAGGCGTCCTGGCTTCTGTGGGCCCACGCTTGCTGTCCCTGGCATTCGGCGGCCTGAGGATGGGCCCTTCTCAGCCCAACTCCGAGGACAGCGCTCCTCCTCCTGTCTCCTCCACAGCTGTCCTTGGCCCCTCAAGCTTCCCTTAATGACCTGAAAAGATACTGGTGACGTGCTTTGGAGCACTTTCTGTTTTACCTCTACTGTTTACTCCCCCCCCCCCGGCCCCGCACCCCAAAAGTGTGGCAGTCAGACACACGAATTTTCCCTCAGGCTTTACCTTCTCATTGGGTTCATCTTGGCTTATGTCACAATAGTCCTCGATCCAAGCTGGAAGCACGTGACTTCTTAAGCATATTCTTTCCTTTTCTCAGTTAACACTCAGACAATAGAACAATAAATAAAAAGTAAAATTTATATTATATTGTGGAAATTTATAAAAGTAGGTAAATACAAAAAATAAAATTTTTAAAATTCACTTGATTGTCTACAAATAGCAATTGTTAACCACAAGATTTCTACCCTTTTTCTAATTAAATACATCAGTATCTGCACGTGGTTATTTATTTTTTTACAAAACTGGTATCCATTGTTTGGTCCTTTGTCTTTCATCTAATGTCTGTGTCTTCACATGTTCTTTTTTTTTTTTTTAAGATTCCTTTATTTACTTACTTATTTTTTAAAGATTTTATTCATTTATTTGACAGAGAGATCGCAAGTACACAGAGAGGCAGGCAGAGAGAGAGGGGGAAGCAGGCTCCCTGCTGAGCAGAGAGCCCGATGCAGGGCTCGATCCCAGGACCCTGAGATTGTGACCTGAGCCGAAGGCAGAGGCTTAACCCACTGAGCCACCCAGGCGCCCAAGATTCCTTTATTTATTTTTAGAGAAAGAGCATGCTCATACCAGTGTCAGGGGAAGAGAGAGAGGAAGAGAGGGCTCCAAGCAGACTCTGCACTGAGCGCAGAGCCCAATGCAGAACTCAATCTCACGACCCTAAGATCAAAACCTGAGCCAAAACCAACGCACCCCTAAATGTTAAAATCATAAAATATGATTTCTCAATGACTATAAGTGTCATTTCATATCATTTATTCTCCTGCTTTGGGATTTTTTAGATTTTGCCCACAAACCATTTTTAAAATGGGGTCAGAATAATAGGAGTATATTTTAAAATTGACTTTTATATCAGATTTTTGAATTCCTCCCCCTCCAGGATGTTAGATTAAAACTTGCACTCAAATAATAACAAGAGAATAGGCACAAACTGAGAATCAAAAGCGAAAACATCGACCCCGTTGGTCCCCACCTGCCCTCACGGGCTCAGACCCTAAGCGCGTCCGCGGTTGGCCTGGCTCTCGGCTGGCTGGGAATGGGCCTCAAAGCAGCCAGAACTCACTGAGATTGAGACTCTGCCCTCCTTGGTTTTCACAGCTGGTTTAATGGTGAAAAAGTCGGTGTCGGACGTGTCCATCTCGTCGGGCACCCACGGGCAGTACTCGATCTTGCAGACGGCCAGACTTCTGCCGGGAGCACCCCAGCAGGCAGTGAGTTTCCCTGTGTTCGGCTCAAAGCGAAACAGACCATCATTTCAGACCCGAGGGACCTGTCCCGTGGTTCATCTTCAGCCCCTGAGACCTTGTAGGATTGCCTCTTCTCAGTGAACACAGAGACCTACATCTCTTTACCCTCTACCTGACCACCAGCTCGTTCCCAGACCCAGAACTCAGGAGCAGATGTGTTACCGGGTTTCTGCGTGGTTGTACAGGGTGTTAGAGAGAAAATCTTATTTGATGAAAAATCCCACGTGTCCCTGTGTGGTGGAACTGTTCGTTTCCAGACTCATCTTCTCTCCTTTCCAAGGCTTGCCTTTGACCTTGGTGTATGGAGCAGGGCTCGGTAGAGGGCAAAATAGGACAAATTCAGATCGGTTGTTTTGAGGGAAGAAGCTAAGAAGAGGAGGGGTGTATGGCAAAGTAGGGGAGCACTAGGAATGACTAGTAATGAGTGAGGAGGGATTTTAGAGATGGAAATTTCTAGAGGATGGCCGTGAGCTGCTCAGGAGGACAGGAGGTGGCAGTCAATGGAATGGAGGTGAGGGAGGTGAAGCCAGGGTGCTAGGTGGGGGTGAACTGTCCCGGGAGGCTGGACCAGATGTCACGTGTGACAGCAGGAGGCGGGAATGACTGGGGAATGGCTGGTTGATGGTAGTGAAGGCAGGTCATCAGTGGCTACCCGGAGGTTTAGGTTGAGGGAGAAAGGTGAAGAGGTAGAAAAAGCACTTTCAAGAAGAGAGTGGAAAGGTTTTAATAACTATAGTTTTAATAACTATGCTGAGCTGTGGGAAAAGTGGCTTCTGATGATGCTTTCTCGGTATGACCTGGAAATAGATAGTGGTTTATCCACATTGCAAAGACCTGTAACCACCCGGTTTGGGAGAGGAGGCTTGTCAGCTCGGAATTACTGCATTCCGCTTCTTGGTATGAGAGTACTTCCTGGAGGAGGAGCCTGGAGGGATGCGGTCTCGATTGGAGTTGGTGTTTAACTCCGGTCTGATGGAGCCCCGTGCCCCCCACCCCTGCAAACTGATCAGTAGGCGGTGAGCGCACCAGGCGAGCCTGTTTTCCTGCTTCCCTTCATATGCTTTTCTTCTTGATTCTGTCCTGAAGCCCAAAGCCAGGACGGGGATAAGTAAACCCTATAACGTCAAGCAGATCAAAACTACCAACGCTCAGGAGGCAGAAGCAGCCATCCGATGTCTCCTGGAAGCCAGGGGCGGTGAGTGTTCTGCTGGCTTCTCCTTCTGGTCTTTTCTATGCATCTTCCTACTCAAGGGGGCCTAGAAGAGAAAATAACATTTTTCCCCCGCCGGAGGCAGTATTAAATTAGAAGCACCTTTTAGCAACATTTTATAAAATTCCACTACAAATGTTATTGTCCATTTAAAATTATACATTTAAAATTCAGCAAGAATATGGAAATAACCCCAAGATTATTAAGAAGCACGTTAAGGTAGAGATTGAAATAAATGAAAATGAAGTTTAGAAAAGGATAATGCTCCAGGCACTAACTCATTCTGCCAGCTCCAAAAAAAGAGACAATTTGGGACCCATCCCTATTTCAGGCACAAAACTTTTTGAAATCACCAGCAAGTACAGATTCTTTACTGTCAGGCAGGGACCTCTTCCCCACTATGCTGCCTGTTAAATTTTTGGTGCTGTTACTTCTCAACCCATGTTAATATTACTCATAATCAAACTCAAAATTGCTGGTATGAATATTTTTGAGGTTTGGGGGAGGTTTTTTTTTTTTTTTTTTTGGTTTTGATTATGTACAAGTGTCTTTTTTGGAGAGGAGAGATCATGCACTCTGAAGAGCCCTTCACAGCTGTCTACTTGCTTTTAGACAGGATATATAACTTATTTGGAATCCCAAGTAACATTGAAGGAGGACACGAATTAAGAGGTCGAGAAACACCATTGTAGGATAACAGTATCATGAATGGTTTCTTTTTTTATTAAAAATAATACAATGGTATGGATGTAACCAGCCATGAGACCACCAACTGATTAATGAATAAAAGGTTATGTAACTGTAGAACAGAATATTATTCAGCCATGAAAAAGAATGTATTCATATATATGTTTTATCATGGGTGAATCTTGACCATACTATGCAGAGTAAAAGAAGGTAAACACCAAAGGTTATTTATTATATGATTTCGTTTGTTTGTTTGTTTGAGCACATCAGCAGGGTGAGGAGAGGAGAGAGAGAATCTTAAGCAGACTCCATGCCCAGTGAGGAGCCTACTGCGGGGCTCAGTCTCACAACCCTGAAATTACGACCTGAGCATAGATCCATAGTTGGATGCTTAAACGACAGAGCCACTCAGGCACCCCTGTCTGATTCCATTTGTAGGAAGTGTCCAGAATAGGCAAATCTATACAGAGAGAAAGTTACTAGTAGTTTCTAGGGCTTGGGGGAGGAGGGAATGGAGGGGTGACTGCTAATGGGAATAGGGTTCCTTTTTGTGGTGATGAGAGTGTTCTAGAATCAGATAGCGGTGACGGTTTGTAAAACTCTGGGAATATACTAAAAAAAAAAAAAAAAACACTGAATCGTAACCTTAAAAAGAGTGACTTTCATGGCATGTGAATTATATCTCAGTAAAGCTACTTGTTAAAAGTGTTCTGTGAATGTAGAGGTTAGGAGAGGTTTGAGGCCTGAGATCTACCCAGGATCCCAGCCCAGCATTTGCTTGGTCAGAAGCCCTGCTGAGATTTTGAGACATTTTGGATTATCTCCCCGGAGAAATGCACACGGCCATAAAACGTTGCACATAATGTCTGGGTCTCACTGATCCCCCATGAAGACCATCCTTGTTGAGAAGGTGAACGTGAAAAGCTGGGGGCTGAACCCAGCTGGCTGGTCCTGACAGCACTCAGATTTTTTTTGTCTTTAGAAAAAAAGGAAATATGTTGACTTAGCAAATTACTCATAGGATGTGGACTGCCTGAAGATTAAATCAGGCATTGAATCTCCCTGTCCTGCCCACTTCAGCTGTCCGTACACCTGTGTGTTTCAGGCGCCCCAGGAGACGCCCCAAATGCCACAGCCCTGAGGGACCCAGGCCCTTCCAAACCAGAGCCCTCAGCAGGGGTGGCCCCGCTCCTGCCCCGGCGGCCTGCACCCAGAGTCCCTGCCATCAAGAAGCCAACCTTGAGGAGGACAGGGAAGGTAAGAAGCTGTAGCAAAGCCTCTTGCTGCTGAGGTGCTCCCATATCTGGGGAGAGGAGGCCCAGACACGGCCCCGTCCGTGGGGACACCGCGTGGCCATCGCTTCCTCTTTCGCATCCCCACCATGTCCTTGGTTCTCGCTGAGCAGAAAACCCAGGAGTCTCTCCCGGCGATGGAATAGCCGTGAGGTATCAGGCCTCCGGAATGTTCTATTGGAGCCTCCAAACAGAGTCCCTGTGGGATGGCGTGTGTCCGTGTCATGTGCACGTGGTTGCACGGGTACAGATTTTTGTTCACCGCTCGGTGGATTCACAGGGTGGACGCACTCTGCGCAGCCTCTGGTACCGGGGCCTGGACACTTCTCTTGCCACTTTTCTTGCAGATTGTGTTTTGCTCTCGCTCTCAAGCTTCTCAGCCTTGCTTGCTGCTTCAGAGACATGAGTTTGTCAGGACAGTGGCAGCCCAAAGACTGGCACCTCTAGAGACATCTGGATCTTCCGTTTGATCTCGGTGTTCTAGTAACGGGACCCTCGGTAATCCGCCGGCTGGCCCTGCCCCAGCGGCTGCCGCTTTTCCACCTGTACCACGTGTGTGATGAGGCTCTGGCGCTTGCTCCGTGTTCTCGCACTGGTCTGCCCCGCGTTTGCACCTCGTGTCTGTCCGTCTGCCCTGCCTCCTTCCAAAGCAGACCTCCTTCCTCCTCCTCTTCCCTGGGCCTGCTCTGTCTTGTCTTTTAAAAGCCGGGACAGAAATGGGTCCTTTTCCCAGGCCGTGGAGCAGGAGTTCACAGTCAGAGGCTGGTGGGGAAGGATTGTGTCTGCAGTTCGTTTGCTCAAGGATCGGAGGGAATGTGGAGATGCTGATGCTTTAGGATAGAACAGCTCCTTTGGTGCAAAAGCTCCCTTTTGCCCCGTGCCATTTTTTAAAGATCCTTTTGAGTCAGAACCGAGGAAGCGACGGTCCTGTGAGAAATTTGCCCTCTACTGTAGTGAAATATCAAAGATTTAAGGAGCCAGCAGATCTGTTAGCCCTTCGATGAGCCTAACGCCCTCACATAAGTTCCTCCGGCCTCGCGCGGTACACGTTGAGTTGTCAAAGCTGGCGCCCCAGAGAAGATAGTTTTCGCAGGTTTGATTTTCATAAAGGAAGAGCATAACCCCATTTCCTCAGGTAACAAAGGACAAACTAGTTTCAGAATATTGACCATGCGGCCCTGGGGTTCAGGTTTGCTCTCCTCTGTCGTTGGACCTGTTGCACTTGACAGAAGTGTGTCCCTCCTGCGTTCTCTCCTACCTGCTCACACTTCTGCATCCCAGACATTCTCAAATCTCGAATTTGCTAGAATGTTCGCTGAGCCCCGTCTCTGCCCCCCTGCGGACCCTGTCTGGGTGCTGCCTCCGCACCCCCAGTGCTGGCTGCTGACCGACTGACCCTCTCTGTCCTGCCTTTTCTCAGCTCGAGTCACCGGAAGACCAGTGTGGGCCGCAGACGGCCCATTTTACCATCGGGCCCCCAGAGACGAGCCCCGAACCCCCTCCTCTAGCAGCCGCCCCTCCCGTGCCCAAACCGAGATCGCTGCAGCCCGGGAAGGGCGCCGAGAGGAAGCCGAGCGGGGGGCCACCCGCCCCGGACGATGGCCCCGCTGTGGCCGTCCCGCCGCACCCGCGGGAGGAGCCGCCCCCCGCGCCCCGGGCGCCCCCGAGGAGGAAGAAGTCCGCCCCCGCCGCCTTCCACCTGCAGGTGCTGCAGAGCAGCAACGGCCTCCAGGCGCTCGCCCTTGGCAGCCCCGGCAGCCACCGGCCCCCAGCTCGCCCACCCGACGACGACGGCCCCCTGTCCCCTCCACCCGCTGGCCTCGGCCCTTCCCCCGTGGCGAGCCCCGACACCCACGGCGCCAGGGAGCCCCTGGCCGAGACGGCCTCCCTTCTTGGGGACTGTCGGGATCCCTTCTGGAGCCTTCTCCACCACTCGAGCCTGCCGAAGAACGCCTGGCTTTCCCAGAGCAACGACCCGGTGGACTCGGGGACCGGGGGCCCGCCAGGAGCACCCCCCGCCCCCGCTGCCCAGGAGCTGCCTCCGGGGCGCGGGCCGGGGGATGTAGGTGCCTGCGGGACAGGCGGCGACAAGGACCAGAGGACGGTACTGCAGGTGTTTGACCCGCTCGCGAACACATGAGGAGGGAGCGGGGACAGCGGCGGCCGCACGAAGTGTGCCCTCTTCCCAGGGCGGCTCTCCACAGGGAAGCCCGGCCTCGGCCCCCACCCCCACCCCTACCTCCACCCCCATCCAACACCCCTCCGACACCCCACCCCCATCCGACACCCCCACCCACACCCCACCCCCGCAAAAGAGACCTCTATTTAAAGGCGCACTGAGAAAACACTTGTACTTCTGTCACTCTGGTGTCGTTTACAGAAATTGTGTCTCACAGTCAATCCAATGGGGGTTATCCAGCCCCCAAGACGGGTTTTAGTCTAGACTCGTGCGTCTTAGTTTCCTCTCCCGGGTCTGAGAAACCTCGGGTCAGGTTCGCTGTGTGGCTCTGAGGACAGGGAATCCAGTTGATAATGGCCGAGAAGTTCTGTCCGAGCTTTTGCGTGCACGTCTGTGGTGTTTTTAGAATGTTATTTGTACTTCGCAGATGGGGGATGACTTTTTGGCGGGCCACCTGCAGACGCGGTAGCACCTGAAAGGGGGCCGGGCTCGCTGTACATGGCCTGCTGACCCCGGGGTTTAAAAAAAAAAAAAAAAAGAGTTGAAAGCAGCCGCAGATCAACCAAATGACCAGGTGACACATTCCCGTGAGCCCTTGCATGTATGTACAGGTGCAGGAAGCTTGATTGCGTGGGCGATGACGTCATGCACTGTTTGGGGTTGGAAGCCTCTAGTGTTAGCTAGCCGGGCAGCAGCTGGCCGAAGACCCCTCCCCGCGCGTGTCAGTGGCTCCGTGCCCCGCAGCGTGCCGCAGTCTTGAGCCCAGGTGTGCGAGTTAAACCCGTTTTTATACACTGGCTCTTCCCTCTTAAAGGAAGCCTCTTGGCTTCTTTCTCCCCTTGCATTCCAAACAGAAAAAGCACCAGCCTGCAGACTCTAGCTGGCCTATGATACTGGTCCTCATCGTTCGGGTAGGAAGACTATTTCGTTTAGTCTGGGCTGCCTGGCTGTGGCTTCAGGAGGGAAAGTACCACCTGTCCCTGTAGGTAAGAGATCCCAGAGCAGCATTTTGGGGTTTGCTTACCCATATGTTCACTGGGTTTTGTGTTTTTTGTTTCTTGGGGTGTTTTGTCTGTACCTTTGCGACACCACTTCTTGCCTACTCAGTCTTTTAGAAAGACATCACCAGATGATTTTACATTTTAAGAATAATGTTGTAAGGCCTAGAATTCGTTTGGAGCAGATACGATGTTTTTGCTAACAAGTTCACAGGTGAAATCTGAGGGTGCCACATACTGCATTTAGGGGATTTAATATCCTAGAATCCTACAGCGGTGACTCTGTCTTATCCCTAATGTGACCGGACCAGTGGGTAGGATGACTCCAACTGCTGATGGTTGGGACGGCAGTAATCGTCCTGCCTGGGGTGGGGGAGGCTACCATTCGCTTTCCTCCTCTGGGATTTTCGGATGATCTCTCATCTCCACTCTCAAGGTACGTGGCAGATTATTTAAATCTGGCATGCAACACACAAAAAAACTACAACGTGTATCGCATTTCCTTTGAAAACCGATTTTTAAAAAAAGATATGAGTGACCCACAGGGATAAACAGATAATATATGTAGTTGACCAGTCTTAAAAAGAGGGTATTTCTGGCCTTAGCTGATTAGCATTCTTTCTGTAATTTGTAAGTAATTTATATCCCGTTTACCTCTAACGAACACAAGTAAACAACATAATTCTTGAACAGTTCGGGGGAGAAAGAACACAAGATGGGTAAATGGCTTGGAGAAGTTAAATAATTTGCCAGGATTCACCTTGCTACTAAAAGTACTTCGAAGATTTGCTCATTCAAACATTCCCTCCTTCTGTCACCTCTTTTTCCCACCAGAAGGAGGTGAACTTTGAAAGAAGATATATGCAACACAGCGGTTGCTTGCAAAGCTGGAAATAGGACTAATTTTCAGGTTTCTTCTTTGATCTAGATGCAAGTAGCCAATAAATGGGACAGAGAACAGAATTTTCATGAAGAAGGGTGCTCATCACACAGGAGGCTCTTAAGGATCTGACATTCAGTATTAACACAGAATTGTGTCGACCTCGGGAAGCAGGTCGCAAGAAAAAGTCTGTCGTTTAGCATAAAGAATCGAACAAGTATTTGATCAGGGCTGTTCAAATTTTGTGAACAACAAACTGGACTTTGACGTGATCATATGTAAGGTTCACGCACCAATGCTCTCTTAAAAAAGACACTTGGAATTGCCTTACTTAGTTTTTAGATCAGTATTTTAAGAGGCGGTAGTTTCCTAGGTTAGCAGAGTTGGTTAAATATCCTGAACAACCAGCAGCTGCCACCCTGGGGATTTCTCTGTGTGGGTTTTTTATTTTTGGTTTTTCTGGGCCCCACACAGACCTTGCAGTGTCTTTCATTACCGCTCTGTAAGACAGTGCAGTTCACCGTGGAGAATTTGAGGCACAGAACTTTACAATTCAGCATTGTCTCTGTGACCCCAATTATATTCCCTTTTCCAACCTAATCTTCTCCGACTTCTTGCCTATTTTTAAAATACGTTCCGGTAAATGACTGAAATTAGGACATCTGCTCAAGCAATTCCTGTAAAAGTTGACAGTTGTTGAATTTCAAGATATAATAGAATTTTCCAGATACATAGAAGTACAAGGAAAGTAATGCATTAAAACGTTCGCTTTGTGATGAAATAATTTTATCAGAAAGCTGCAAAAATTATTTATTGGGTGACTAGTAATTAAAACCCTGTCATGTTTATTTGATGTGATAATTTGTACTGCAGTTGTAAAAAATGCTTATTAAATATTTTTTCTCTTTTTTAAAATATGGTTTGTTTCTTTTTGGATATGAAAGAATGTTGGGATATCTTCTTTATCTTGCCTTCTATTCTGAATGAAATGTGATTACTAGTTATTCCTCTGAGTTCCTCTTTTTTTTTAATGGTGTGAAGTGGGGCCAACATCACCTTGCCGAAGGATAGTTACACTATACCATTCATTAAATAATAAACCGTTGCTCTTCCTTCCTTTTAATTAGGTATCTCAAGGGGTTATTTAATTTCATTGGCATTTTCAAATAACACTGGGATTTATATAGCCTTTCTATTTTTTTTTCTGTTGATTTTTAAAACATTTTCATTAACTTCAACTTTAATTCACATCTTTTTTTCTTTTTAATTTTGTTCTAAATTTCTTCGTCTTAATTCCTTAATTAAAAGTAGCACTAGATTCCATTATCTTTAGACTTTCTCACTTAACAGTAAAAATATTTAAAGTTCTATATTTTCCCCAGATTATAGCTTTAATTCCACCCCATGCATTTTGGCATGAAATATGCTCCTTTTCATTACCTTCTAGTTTAATTTGCTTTTATTTTCTCTCTCATCCAAGGGAGACTAATTTTCCAACAGTTAAGGATTTGACATTTAAAAATTGTTTACTCCTAATATTTTGGATTATGACCTGAGAATGTGACCTAGATAAACCTACTTTTTAAAATGTGTTAAAGTTTGCTCTGTGGCCAAGGGCAGGATTGATTTTTGAAGTGTGTTCATCAATATAGAATAATTTTTTTTTTTACTGTAGGGTACAAAATTTGTGTGTGTGTGTGTGTGTGTGTGTGAGAGAGAGAGAGAGAGAGATAGAGTGCACAAGAGACATATTTGATGTTTAATTCCTCTATACCCCAAATGGAAGGGATCTTTCCATAAGGCGGATCTCAAGCAGGAGGAGGGGGGAGGGGGGTACACAGTTCTCCAATGTAACAGCCTCCTACCTCCTCCCATTATTCTTACCAAGATTTCTTGGGTTTTGTTGAATTAACTCTAATCAGTTTGTTTAAGCCTTTGGTCAGTCTCCAGACATGTTGAATGATTACCTTTGCTAATTTTTTTTAAAGATTTTATTTATTTATTTGACAGACAGAGATCACAAGTAGGCAGAGAGGCAGGCAGAGAGAGAGGAGGAAGCAGGCTCCCTGTTGAGCAGAGAGCCCGATGCGGGACTCGATCCCAGGACCCTGAGACCATGACCTGAGCCGAAGGCAGAGGCTTAACCCACTGAGCCACCCAGGCGCCCCAACCTTTGCTAATTTTGACCTGTTTAACAGATGCCTGTCTGAGGGAGAGGTACCCTGTATTCCTCATCCTGCCATTCTAGACCTTGCCCCTGGGCAGTCTGTTCCGTGCCACTGGATTTCTTGTCAATCCCTGTGCCAATCCTACGTTGTCCTTTTTCATGCTAATTTTTATTAAGTTTTAATTTTCTTTAACTTTGGTATCTGGTAAAACAAGCCTTCCTACCTCATTCTTTTCCTTAAGAGGAACTTGGCTACTCTTGACTCTTTGAAATTGCATATAAATTTTAGAAGCAATTCATCAATTCCATTAAAAAAAAAATAAAACCTATTGGGAATTGTTTACTGGGAATGCATGGAATAGAATAGACATCTTTATAAGATTGACTCTTCAATCTAGGACTGTAATATATTTCTTCCTTTAAGGATGTAATCATTTCTCCAAGTTTTAAACAGAATTTCTAAATACATATGAAATCAGAGGGAATAGTTTGAACCCTCATATGTCCCTCACCAAAATTTAACAATAATTAACATTTTGCTACATTTGCTTTATATTTTTCCTTTAAAATATTTTAAATGAAGGAATTCTGCTATCATGACATTTAAATTCTATACTAAGCACTTCTACTATGTACTCTAAATAACATTTTTATAATCTTAATACCGTAAGTATATCTACCAATTCTTACTTTAAAATTTATTTGCTGTTTTTTGCTGGTGTACTTAAATACGAGTTTGTTGTGTATGGACTGTATCAATCTCTTTAAACATAAAATTCTAACAATTTACTCTATTTCAGTATGCCTACACCACCATCCATATACCACATTATACCATAGCATTAGAAGATATGCCATATATATTCTATTATTCTTGAGAAGGTGCTATGGCCTGAAAGTTTGTGTGCCCCCCCAAATTCGTATGATGAAATCTTAACCCCCAGAGATGAT